CCTGTCTAGCCACGAATTGAGGCGGAGAACATATTCCTCGAAGATTACAATGGTGTCTCCGTCGGCAATCATGGAATCCACCGCTTCTGGAGACAAGATCTGATCTCTGCTCATTTTTGCCGGCGGGATTGTGTTGCAGTCACCACGCGGTGATGCGTCGTCTATAAAGATGGTTGCGGCTCGTCGAGAACAAAGAAAGAGGCGAATCGCGGGAGAGTCTGTTGATGTTTGCAAATGAAAATGAAAAATAAATCGCGGCAGCCGTCGTGTGCGAGGAAATGTAGAGCGAATCGAGGGCTAAATGGAAAACGGGACCGATTCGAAGGAAGGAGCGAAGGAGCAGAAGAATGCGGAACGAGGGCACCTTCTATCGTGCCACAAATATGGACAAGTTTGTGAAGAATGGAACAATGAGGGATTGAAAACCTCAACAACATGTGTGTAACTAGTTGACGGCCGTTGGAGAGACTGCAAGGACTCTGGGATAAAAAAACAAAACCACAGGCCATCAGGTGCCATCAGGTCCCTCCATCTTTTCTAGAATTCATGGCGGATAGCGGCGTCGGGACCTGCGTCCAACCCAGGTTCGTTACGCGTGTCCATGTGCCTGTCTGCCTTTGGACCACAGAAAAGGAGCTACTGCACAGCCAAGATTAAGATCCCCTTTCCTGTTTCTCAGAGGCTCAAGGGTCGGCGGGCTGCGGACCTCTCGCCTCTCTCGCAAACGCCCCGAAGTGGATAGGGGTGGATGGCAAACGCACCCCACGCAGTAATGGAGTTGCTGGCGCAAGATTGACAGGAGTAAAAACACGCGTACAATGTATCTTTTTATGGATCGCGAAGAGGTAGTGAGGGCCGGCATTCGTCGGACGGAGGCGAGGGCAGACCACGTAGGGGTGGAAGGTCAAGCTCAAACAAGGATGTCATGAGCCAGACAAAGACGAGCCTCCCATGATACACCCCACAATGAGAGCCTCAGATTATCGTGACCAGACTGCGCCACTTTGCCGCCGTCCGTTGCTCGGCCTTGCATGGAGGATGAGGGAGTTGTCCCAGCCCCCAGGTTCCGAGTTTTCAGTGTCCCTATTCATGTTTTGCCCTCTGGGTCCGCGTATTTACTGGCGCCCTCAAGGACACAAACCGACGGACTGTGACGACTCGGTTGATAGTTGGCTAGGGGAAAGGTTCCTCGAGACTTTGGGTTGCCTTAAGTAAAGTACTAACTCGGGCAAGGCTCGACTGAGCATTACGTACAGGTATTGTCTGGATAAGTACTTAGTACTTGATGGATGGAGTCTGGTGGTATTAGTTGGCGCACCTGCCTACACTTGCAGTACTTAGGGCCAGGTACCTGGGTACTCGTGCCGTTGCGTTAAATGATGCATGTGCGCCTGAATGGCACTCGGTAGCACGTACGGTCCGATTCGACTTGAAAACTAAAGTAGACAGACATGTTGGAAACAAAGGCCACGCTACGGCACAATACTGCACAATACCCCACAAACGCTTCCAATAGTACTCATGTGCAGCTCGCCTGCCTCTACGAACAAGCCATCGCGTCGTTTGACCGAAGGATTGGCCCTTTATCTGAAACGAAGGGTCCAGATCCACCAACCATGCGCTTGTTCTGGAATGGCCAAAGACTCCAGCCTCTCTCATCGCCCTGAGCATCAATTGATTGCAGGAACCAACAAGCCAAGCAACTACGGAGTGATGCGGAGCACACACATACATAAGTACATACATAGGTCCCCTTTGAACTTCCCCGAGTATCGAAAGGCTAACGGTTCAGGCTGTCTTTGTGGCGTTTTAGCGGCAACGTGCCAATGTGGATTCGAGGCGGAAATCACCGTTGAACCAACCATCAATCAGGAAGGGAAAACTTGGGGAACCGCAATTACTCGCAAGGACTCCACTTGTGTGTTCATCAGCCGTTTCTTCGATGGGCATATTGTCTCTCTGTTGGGATGATTGGCCCACTGTCAATGGTGAGAATGCATACCACCCGACCATTGCTCGCCGACCTGACCTGACCCGACAGGGCAGTTGGCCGAGGACTGCACAGCCAGCATCTTACGAGAAACACCTGACCCGAAATCTCCATGGCATATTGTCTGAGTCTAAGGGGGAAAAATGGGAAAGACGCCAGAGAGTTAAGGTACTCCCGTACGGAGCACGCGTTCGTACCATCCAAGAACGGTCGCAAATTGCAGACTGCTTTTGTGCGGACCAACGTCAACAAGTCGCACCACATGGGCCGGAGCATTGGCCCCGACACTACGACCAACATCCCTAATATAATATATCCAATCAATGCTTCTTACAGTCGGGACTTCGTCGATTTATGTTGTGTCATATTGCTCTGAGTTTTTCGGGGCGTGACTCACGCGGTCACGAGTCACCGTCATTACGTCTCTGACGCGCAGAGTTTGTTCCAGGCTTTCGCCGGCGCGTAAGGTCATGAATCACCTCTTAAGCTAGTAGATTTAACGTATTGTGATATGTGTAGTGTTTTTTTAAATTGTGTGTTTATTATTTTATATTTTTTTCATAATAGTTTAATTAATGCTTCTTACAGAAGGAAAAATAAAAGAAAAACACTAGCACTGAAAGATGTGTGTCTCAAAGCTTAATTGGACATGCTTGATACGTCAGATCATGGTTATTTTACTTTCGCCTGTTGCGCCTATGGACCGCCACTCCTATCCAATTGCTCCGTTCGACAAGGAAATTTCATTTCTTCTCTGCATCTTCCCGCGTTTTGCATCCATCATTTCTCCCAAAACATCTGTTCTAAACTTGTACTAGTTGAACAAACCCGGAGCGTTTGATTGCACCTGCGCGTCGAATCCACACGCTATATCTACGAGGAGCCGAGATTCGAATGCCAGGGTCCTTGGGGAATCAATCGCTAGTTGCTGCCATGACTTGAAATGACTGGGACAAGGCTCACGGTTGATGTGCTTATTTTGGCACTCTTTTGGTGGGATCTGTGGGCTTTGGTTGTGGGAACTTGGGGCACAGAGCGATTTCAAAAGTATGGCATGCCCATGTTTCGAGCTCGTCGAGCCTCGTCGCAGCGACATTTGTCACCCTGTGTGTGTCCGGCTCTTTCGTCGCCGAATATGAACAGCTGAATGATGGTAAACGTCTGGCGAGGAGATTCAATCTACCCGACTTAAATTTGCTGCAAGGTCGACCTCGGCCCGCCGCACGAGCCAGACGCGCTAAAAATCGCGGATGGGTCGACTGGTGCAGGTGCAGCCAGCACCTCGAGCCCTCGACCAATGACGCAACATTTGAATCACTCGCCCTTGCCCGTGAATGAACTTCATCATACGTGTCCAGCACGCCTTGAATCCATCAGTTTCGCGGAAAATATATACGTAACCCCGCCGGAAATTCGCAGTCGAGATGCCATCTCGGAAAAGATCCGCGCCAGATCAGAGCACTGATCGAAGACGGTCTGGTCGCTTATCCGCCTCTGCACAGAAGAGCTCTTACTTTGAAGACTCGGATACTGGATCAAATGAGGATGAAGCTCCCGTGAAGAAACAACGCCGACTCTCCGAGAAAAGAAAATCAGCCTCAAAGCAAGTGGAGGAAGACCAGTACGTCCAGGACACTGCAGTTGAGCACCATGACGATGAGGGTGAGGAGGAGGGTGATGATGATGAGGGTGATGACGCCCCGAGAAGGGTTGAAATTATACCGCTGGAGAAGATGAGAGATACCGGAGGAGTGGAATATGAAGACCACAAAATACACAGGAACACATTGCTGTTTCTTAAAGACCTAAAGGCAAATAATAAGAGGAGCTGGCTAAAATGTGAGCCGATAGAACCTGGACGAGTTACCACTATGCTTACATTCTGCAGCTCATGACGACGAATACCGGCGGGCTCTGAAAGATTGGCAGTCTTTTGTCGAGGCAGCTACGCTGACGATAATTGACGTAGACGAAACAATTCCCGAACTGCCTGTCAAGGACGTCATCTTTCGGATATATAGGGACGTTCGCTTCAGCAAAGTCAAGACGCCATACAAGGTACGCCTAGTCCCCGCAATCATCAAGGTGGTTACTTATTGCGCAACAGCCTCACTTCTCAGCTGCCTGGTCACGGACGGGCCGGAAGGGTCCCTACGCCTGCTACTACATCCACTGCGAACCCGGGTCGTCATTCATCGGCGGCGGCCTGTGGCATCCCGAAGCTGCACTCATCACGAAGCTGCGCCGGAGCATTGACAGACGCCCAGATCGATGGCGCCGGACTTTCAATGAGCCACTACTGAAGAAGGTGTTCTTCCCGAATGCCAAGGCGAATGCTAGTCCGGAAGCAGTAATCAAGGCCTTTGTGCAGAAGAATCAAGAGAATGCGCTCAAGAAACGACCGATGGTGAGATGACTCGGAGACTCTCGTAACATTGTTGGGTACTAACTGCAGTCAGGGTTACGAGGTTACCCATAGGGATATTGAGCTGTTAAAGTTGCGCAACTATACGATAGGCGTAAAGATCGACGCCGACATGCTCGCCAAGGATACTGCTCAGCAGAAGATACAAGAAATCATGCGCGGTCTTTCTGGATTTGTATGTGAAAAGAAGCTCACTAATGATGTGTTGTGACTAAACGCTTGTGCAGGTCTCGTTCTTGAACAGCATAATTATGCCAGACCCTGCGATTGATGGGGACGATAGCAGTGATGACGAGGACGAGGACGAAGAAGAAGAAGAAGGGGACGGGGACGAGGACGAAGAGTAGGTTTGTGTAATTGGATAAAAATTCTTGGATTGAAACTGTGTTCTTCTCCCCTATTTAATATCATATTCGTCGTCGAGGCCATTTCCAGAATGCGGAGGTAGAAGACATTATATATACTACCTACAAAGTTCCTCCTCGACAACTTCGAAAACGTTCCATTACGCATTTTTTCTCCTTTCGCGAAGTGGCATCAGCCAACAAGCAGATTGATATTACGAAGCTCAGTGATATCATCAGATTAAGTCTTCTCCAGCCCCGGCACTTTAATCGAACCAGTCGACTCGGACAGCTTGGACAATCTCTGTCCCAGAGACGATGCTATCATCCCCGGCTCCTTTCTACGCCCACTTCTCTCTGCCTGCCTCCCCCCAGATGACTTATTCTTCCCCTCCAGATCCTGCTTTGCGTCCTGATACATCTCATCAATGACGGCCGCCTCAACAACGGGGTCCAGCGGACAATCAGCCAGACAAAACTCCCGCTCGCGCTGCTCGATGTGCTCCCGCACGGCCTTGAACTCATCCTGAATAAACTTTAAACGCTGCGGCATGCCCGACCCCTTTAGATACGTCAGAAACCCGGCAATAATGGTATTAATGGCTCCAAAGGCAGTAACGGCGACTCGAGAACCGTCGGCGGCACCGAGAGCCGTCAGCGACGCCGCAACAACGATTTGCGTACCGAGGCAAACGTTGACGATGATGTTGTACAATTTGAAACCGCGGGCTGCTTTTCTCTCGGCCTTGATAACACGAGGGTAGATGCCCAAGTTGGGTGCGGCACGTTCGGCATGGCCGTCGTTGGAGACTGTGGGTACGGTGTCGATGCCGGTGAGGGAGCGAAAGACGAGGAGTTTGTCTCGATGGGGCACGAGGGCGTTTTCGTCGGTCGTGATGATGGTGAGGGGCCTGTTTGCGCTGGCGGTAGAGTCGAAGGTTCCTCGGCGTGACACGGGAGGGAGGCCCTTCTCTTCGTGGTCGAGGCTGGGGAGGGCTTTGGCCAGAAGCCAGCGGGATGCGCTGCTGAGCATTTTGCCAGTACGGGATCCGTCAAGATGGAAGTATTTGACCGCTTCTTTGTCTGCCTGAGAGAAGAAACAAAAGCAAAAGGAAGTTTCGAAGCTTAGGTACAGGGGGAGAGAGCAGGTATTAAGTCTCTCGAGACGACAGGACAACCGTGGGACGAAACATTCCACCATATGCCCAATGTAAGTCCATCGATAGCTGACATGTCCCCCTGGCGCACTATCCCCCTCTTCATCACAAGTACGGAGTAGCAGGAACATTTACAGAAAGCTCAAGATAGTACTATGTATGAGGTCAGACGTGACGGGCTGCATGTCTTGCCCGACTTTCAGGTGTCGGAGAGAACTCGGACAAGGGTTTCTAATTAGTATCTCCCAGTGACCATGGCTTGTTTACCATGCTCAGCCCTGAACCTTCTCAACGAATCATATCTTGGTCAGAGGCACAAACGTCCTCATACCGGCCCCCTGACCGACAAGTACAGCTAAATAAAAAAAGCCACTGAGGCCATCTTCCTTCGGCTGTCTTCTCATTCGTCCAAAAGCCCAATCAGCTTCCAAGCACACGACACAAGACTCGGGTCAAATTGTACCCCCTCCTGCACTGAAGGATGCCGAAAATGGACAACCCTGAAGTGCCGCGACGGGGTTGTCGCTCACACATCTTGGAGCTTTACCCTTCTCAGCGCCACGGCGGTCAGCTAGGTGCCAGGATGGGATGGAATGGGCACCGGTGGCGTTCACGGCAGGGACCTGAAGTTCCCGTTTAAATCCTGTTGTTCATGTACAATGCTGATGCTGTGAAACTACCGCCTGAGTGCCGAGCAGAGACAGAGTCAATCGGCGGCGACGGCGTGGCGGCAGTCTCGCCCCTTGGACTGTCAAGTGTGTAGATTTGGTGATGCTTGGTCAGACACCCTCAGGCGATGCATGCTGACAATTTAACTAGAATTTTTTAAAAAATTGGCCCGAATGTTGGCGACGCCGCATGCATGTCTCTGCTGCAAGAGGCCAAATAGTTGGATGAATATTTCCCATGCTGCATTCCGCATCGATGAGAAATCCTACCCGCCAGAACCGATGCGAGGGCACGCAGTGCCGAGGGAAAATATACATGTACAGTTTCGCTGGTGCGAAAGGAGATAGCCGAAGCAGCTGTTCTTGTTGCGTCCATCTACGGAGTACAGCTGCGGGAATTCATGGGCATCTCAGCCGGATACGGCCATGTCAGTATGCCATCTCGTGAGCTGCAGCGTCCTTGCATAAAAGCGCCAGTCACGAGGGATGCCCAGGAACCAGGGGGCTAACTCTTGGTCGCTGCTACTGAATATTTGTCTGCTGTCTTTTTATAAGCCCTGCGCAGAAGAGGGCAGAGACCGGGGAATACTACCCGACTCTTGTCTATGTTCAGGATATCCATCACCCTCCGCGTCGTGACATGAAAACTTCAGACTTCCTTCCATACCTCACGGGACTCATCTACATGGACACCGACAGCTACATCCCGGGCATCTAGCACGCGCAAAAGTTCAACTTGGCCACGCTCGGGTCGTGGTCACTCGTCTGGCCGTCATAGTTCTGCCAAGTGTTCAAGTGCAGGTGCTCGACCTGGGCATTCTTGGCCAGCCCCCTGCTAATGTACATGTGGTCCAGGGCCTCGCTGTTCTGGTCAAACAGATACGTGTAGCGCTCGACCGCGGCAAGACCGGCGACCTCGTCGGCGTCAAGCAGGCCCGACTTGGAGGCAAAGGTCGTCACGGGCTGGACTTGCGTAAACTCGTTGAAGTCGCCGGCGGTGATGATGCGAGCCTTGGGGTCTTGGGCGAGGATCTGGGCGATGAAGTTCTAAGAAAAAGGGGGAAGAAACCATTAGTCCATGTCCATGGGAAACCCAGAGAGGGCAAGTACATGAGCAAGTACATATATATATCTGGTAAAGACTCACAGCAGTTAGTTCCATTTGTCCGGTCCTCTTCTCCACGCCCTTATTGACGGGGGGCCGCGGGTCGCCATGCAAGCCAGTCGAGCCGCCCTTGCTGCTGAAGTGGACGTTGATGGTGAAGAAGACCTTGTCGGGGCCCTTGACGGGCTTCCACATGGCGACGAGCGGCTTCCGGGTGGCCTCGAAGTTGGCGTCGGACTGTCCGATGCGGCCGGGGTTGTACTTGATGGACGGGCCGTCGACGACGGCGTTCTCGTCGTTGCTGCCCCCGGGGTTGGGCTTGTACAGCTCGACGGCGTCCGGGCGGTACAGGTACGCGCAGCGAATGTTGCCGCCCGGCTGGCCGCCGTCCTGGCCGTCGACGGGGGCCACCTCGACGAAGTCGTACCTGACGCCCGAGGTCTTTTCGATGCCCTGCGTCAGGGTCGACAGGGTGAGGTTGGCCGAGGTGACGCCGTCGTCGACGGGGCCCGAGTTGTCCTGGACCTCCTGGAGGAAGATGAGGTCCGGGGTGCGCAGCTTGGTGACGATCTGGGAGACGACGCTGGGCAGGTGCGTCGAGTTGGGGGCCAGGTTCTCGGCGTTGTAGTCGGCGACGGTGAGGCCGCTGCAGTGGGCGCTGCTGGCGAGCGACGTGGCAGGGTAGTCTGGCGACGAGGGCGTGATGGTCTTGACGGCGGTCAGCGGGAGCACGCGGTATGTGCCGAAGGCGTTGTAGACGACGCCCGTGACGTCGCCGATGTAGTCGCCCATTTTGGTGTCGGTTGGGTTCTTGGAGCCGTCGAGGGGGCTTCCAACGACGATGGCTTCCGGGTTGGCATCTACATGGTTGGTTTTTTGTCTCGTCAGCGCCATGTCCATTGCTGCTGTCGCGGTTTCTTCACACGAGGAGGAGCGGATCAAGGTGAAGAAAAGGGACTCACCTCCGTCGAGCATAGTCAGGCCGCCATGGCCGTTGATGCCCGTGACAGTGTAGTTGCCTCTCACCCACACGTCGCCATACTGGTTCGGGCGACTGACAAGATGGGCGCTCTGGATGGTGACCAGCTCGCCGACCAGACTCTCCCAAAAGTCCAAGCCATAGGCCGTGGGGTCCAGCACGGGGTTCGAGGCGGTGATGGTGGTGACGGCATTGGGGACGCCAAAGACGCCGCCCTTGTCAAGACTGGAATACTCCTTGTTGGGAGGCTGCAGGGTGTCGACGCCGATGACGAGCGGCTTGACCTGGTTGCCGGACGAGACGACAACAATGTTGGCGGGCTTGGTAAGTTCGGTGAGGTAAATGTAGTTGTTGTTGGAGCTGCAGAGCGTGTCAGTTGTACGTTTGCATCTTGGTTCCTTTTCCTTCCTTCTTTTTTTCCGCATACAAGACCACAACAAGTTGTTCTCCTTTTTCCCCGTCTCAAAATCCAAAAGAATCAAATCAAAACATACCGATACTCCTGGACCAGTCCGCCGAGGGTAATGACATCCCCCTTCTGGACCTGCTTCCCAACCGCGCTGCCAAACACAAACAAGCCCTCAGACGTGGCCGGGTCGTCATCCGGCTCCGTCGAGCGCAAGTAGATGCCGTTGGACGCAACAGCCGTCACCAGGCCCGTCACCCCCGTGACGTTCTGGTCCTTGAACGACGACAGGAACCGGTTGCCGTTGATTTCGGCGATGCTGACGGCCGCAACGGCACTTGCGGCGCCGAGAACAGCCGCAACACAAGCAAACGACTTCATTGTCCAGCCTCGGGGAATAGATGTAAGACGATTAACGTAATTAGGGGCCTGAACAAGAAGAGGGATCTCGCGTCCCTTTTATCTACCTTCCCAGCTCGGTCCTTGGGCCACGGCGGCCAAGGGCCACACTAGCGGCCGCCCATGCATGGTTCTCTCCAGCTTCTACATCGGATGGAGGTGGTTCAATGGCCGCGTCCGCCACGGTCGCCGGCGAGGAAAGAAATTACGTAGACGGCCAGATTATGTACCGTTATCTAGCTGGACGCTCACGACTGGTAGAGGCCACAGGTCTTGGCGAACGCTCCAACGTTGAAGCTGGACGAGGCCCCCGTTTGCGCCCCGCCAATCAGATGCGCCGCATCTCCAGAACCACCTGTTTTGGTCCAAGATTGAATTCAAGCGTGTGGGGAAGCGAAAAGCGCCCCCCGTGGCCCCGGTGCCTGTAGACGGCAGCCATCCAGGCACGTTTTTGTGCTTGGGCTTGGGCGCCCGCCGGGTGTGGCTTCTCATCAATGGCTGAGGTGCTTTCTTTGCTCCCGCACAGAAGCATCGACGAGAGAGAGATCGGGACTATCGAAAGTAAAATAAACTTGACGCCAGCCGTGTTCCCTTGACGATGCCTCTTTTGCTCACCGACTGCCCGTTGCCAAGCTGGACTTTTGTGTCATCCATGTATTACATGCTGCACCAGACCGGGCTGTTTATTACGTCAATGTCGACGGTTGTCTTCGGTACCGACGAAACGTATTCGACTCGGCGCAAAGGGCCCAGAACAGCCGATATGCAAACATGACGGCGCATGCATGGCGCATAACATACATACATATGGTTTACCTCTTTGTTCCGTCCTGCCTAAACAGGATCACTGTCCGTTCCCAAAAGAAAAGAGAAGAAGAAACGACTCGGTGCGTCCTATTAGCTCTGGCCCTGAAACTCTATTCCTTATAATGTTTGTATACAGAAAACACCCAAAACAGAATCCGCCACCCTTCGCTAAGACTATAACTGGTCTCGGCGCGCTCGTACATGCTTTGCTTGCATGGCTCTCTGAATTTCTTCCGTTCCCCAGCATTTCCCCCTCTGTATTTGGCCAAAGACCCAGCAGGCCATTTGCACGGCGCTGCATTTTATTCTCCCTTCATCCATGTCGTATGTTGACGCTTTCTCGCTGAGCTCGCAGTCGCTCATGGCACGACAACCAAATAAGAAAAAAAAAACGATTTCCTCCCAATATCCGCCTCAGTCTATAACTGACTGGGCATACCACGCAAGGTAGGACTCAAGACAAAACGCCCCCCAGATAAATGTGCAAGACCAAAAAAAACAAATATCCTCCATCAAATCCTCAACTCAACAGAGAGTAATCCGACCGTCGCGCGGTCCGTCAGCTGGAGCTAGGTCCGGCAGTCACATCTGCCTTCTCCTTTCCCTTGCTGCCACCAGCCAGGTCCAGCTCGCGGTACAGATTATTATCGTAGATATAATTAATGACATCGTCCGGAATTCTGTGCCAGGTCAGCAACTCCACCGCGGCCTAACATACAGGGTGAGACGGGTTCAGTAGCGCCACATACAGATAATCGATGCTCATATCTCGCTTCAAGAGAAGTCGGACTTTGGTACTGGATATATCGTTTGTCACAACCTAAAGGCATTCCGTCAGCACCAGGACAACCGCCATGGCGGAATCGATATTTACCTGTCGAATGACGTGGATATTCTTCTCCCAAGGCTTCAGGGCCGCCAGAGCCGAGTCAAGCTCGGTCCCTGTTCGTTCCAGGACAAAGACGCCAAAGTTACCCAGAATATGATCCACATCCTGGGCGTCCCAAATGTCCGGTGTGCTAATGGTCTGGATCAAATCGGCGCCGGCCAGCAGGACAATCTTGGCCGGCTTACGGGTGCCGTCGGAGCACTCGATGCCTCCCATGACATGATTGATCTCGTAGTCGAAATGGTCCAAGACGCGGGCAGTGGGAATATAAGTTGGACTCAGGGCCTCCCAGGGATCAACCATGAGCCATTTAGAGGTGTTCTCGGCGGCGATTTCGCACATTCGAATTCGGTGATTTGCAGGGGCCAGACCCTTCTTCTTATAGGCGTCCGATACGGGGGAGAGGTAGCCTCCAACGACTTCGTATCCTGTTATGCCGCATGAATTAGCCATGTCCACGCCGTGCTGTCCGGGTGCCCGTCGACGTCATTGCAGTGCTTGCTCACCCTCATTACGTGCATGGTCCCGCGCCATGGGAAACATGCGCAAATGTAGAAAGGTAATTGGAGAGACTGAGAGAGGGGTTTGAATTGTTAGTTTGGCACTTTTTATTTATTTTTTAATTTTTTTTTTGTCCCTTATTCCTCATATATATTTGCCCACGTCATACATGAGGAGCAAGGTGGTGGTACTCACAGGACCCGCAGGCTACCAGGACGAGGGGCACTCGACCAGCGTCGCATGTGCGCCGAAGCCGGTGGGAGGGGAAGACGTAGCCCTCCGGAGTCATCTTTTTGACATAGGGGAAATCGGACGCCATTGCGAGATGGAGTCGCCGTCGCAGCAACAGGCTGGTGAAGCGGCAGATGGAGTTGTTGATGCAGGGACACTGCTGCTGTCGGCGCGCGCGGCTAATGCCTCGAGTCTCGGATGCAACCAGCGGGAACCGAACCTGCTCGGCGTTGGCGTTGGCAGCCAAGTCGGCTATGCGTCGCAGACAAGACAAGAAGCTGTCTAGTATCGTGCACAGCCAGGGTCGGGGACTCGGCAGCAGGCGGGTGGTATTGAGGCAAGTTGGTGTTGTCGGCGGCGTGCGTGCGTGCGTGCGCTCGTTGCGAGTTGAGTGGCCTGGTTGGTGCCTGCAGCAACAGCAACCGCAGGGCTGGACCGACGGATCAACGCTTCATCAGGCAGCCCGCAGGCACAGAGTTGGACAGTCGAGCGGCGGCGTGGCGAAATTTCAACTGCGCAGGGCGAAAGAGCGACAAAACGGCGACAGCGCAGTCTGAGGCCAGAGGTGGACAGGCGGATGGTCAAGGGTTGACGTTGACGGAGATGGAGATGGAGACGGCTGCGAGTACACAAGTGAGCGATGGCGATGGCGATGGCGGAAAAGGTAAGTGGAAGAAGCACTGTGAGGCGTCTGGGGTCTGGTGCAGACATGGACTCCATCAATAATGAGGCACAGGCGCTTTGCCGCCGAGAGGCCACAAGGCAGGGCGCTGGCACAGGCGCCGGCTCGTATTGACGCAATGTGCCAGGCATCCAACTGGTTCCTGCGGCCTGCACAGCAATCAAGTGTGTGCCTGGGCTCACGCTGGCTGCTCCCAGAGGTGGCTGGTCAAGCTGCACCACACATGTGCTGGTTAGCGAGCCCACGCCGCCCAAAGCATCATCAAACGTTCACCAATGGCGCACACGTGCAGCGAGAAGCGGGGCCATGCATACTGGTGCAGTCAAACATTGAACCGGACTGCTCGGCTCGAGTGCTCCAGGCCCCTCGTCCCGTTTCGGCAAAAGTCAGACCTCCAGTCGTCTTGCGCCATCAATCGACTCGACATCATCATCTCCAATCTACAGTAGTACTGCCCCGGTACCCGCCTTGAGTTAGTAGCACCTCACGATCATGTTGGAACGTTTGTCACGTGCTAACATGGCGCGAAGAGCAGAAGCAGAACCCCAACCAGCCAAGGTAGCTGGATTTTGACCGCGCACAACACCACAGCATCTCACGCCTCTACGGAGCCATTGCCAAATCGCCTACTCTGCACCTTGGCATCTTACTCAAGCAACTCAAGCACGTGCTCCTTGTCCAAAAGGGCCAAATACTCCGCTACTATCAAATCAGCAATGACATGCCCAACGGCGTCATGGAGCAAGCAAACGTACCTCCAACCCTCCACTCCGTCCGCAGCGCCTTGAACCCTTGGACAATCTGCTTGATGCCATCCAGCATGGTCCGACTACCAAACTCCTTGTAAAAGCACGCACAATCAATGGCGGAATAATACATGCTGTGCCCCGGCACAAAACTCACACTCGGTCTCACTGCCGGCGAAGCAACCATGTGCTCCATGTGCCGTGCTATCTGCGGCAGCAAGACGCCGCTGAGATGCTCCATGCCCTGTATAGATAGCTGCTGCGCTTCCGCCTCTAGTGCTATGCGCTCTGGGCCAGCGGACCTGTTGCTCTCGTTACACGCGTACTGTGTGTAGAGCAAGTACCGGGCCGAGCAGCATATCGACAAGGCAGTGTAATTCATGTCCTCCACGTCAGCAGAATCAGGACCAGAACTCCCCTCTCCTTGGAAAGAGTCGAGCGGGCTGCCGAGACTGGTGTCCAACGCCACGAGCGCTTTGTGAAGATGCAACGCCTCCGAAACAACTTCGGTAACGTCAGTCATGGCCGACTTGCAGCGATTGATGTGGGCCATGGTCTTGCCCAGCACATGCGCTGCTTGGCATGTTCTTGCAAAACTCCCAATGGAATTGGCGGCGTGGAACGATTGTGCGAGGACGGGTTCGTTTATGCTGATTACGCCGTTGTTCCAGTCTCGGTCGTTGGAAGGCAGGAGGTGGTCAACAGACGGGTCCGGCGTTGCGAAGGGCAAGCCGGGCGATCCAAGGCTGACAAGCCTAGAAGTATGTCGTCAGCACACATCCAGATGTCCTCTTACACATGTGGTGACAGGATCGGGGGCAAGACTTTGTACTTGTCGAGAACGAAAATCGCCCACCACGTCCGTCCCTGCTCTTCCCTCAAACTCCACATATCCGGCAAGACGAACAGCTGCGTTGCGAGCTTGGTATTATGTAGCCCGATAACCATGGCCAGCCTCGCCGCCCTGCCAACCGTCAAGTACGCCGCCGGATAGATGGCATGGCCCATTTCATAAACCGCCAAGAGAACGAGGGACTGGACCAACCGCAGCGACACGTATCCTCCCGACTCTGCGCAGAAGAGGCATTGCCTCGCAGCACTGTACAGCTCATTATCTGCATACGAGGAGGAATTATCGGCAGACTGGAGGGGCCTGCCGGTGCACAGTTTCATGCTTAGCAGGAACAGCGCATTGCCGGCCCTGGTGTCAGGATTAGAAGAGGTCAACTCGGAATAGAGGCGCTTCTTGCTAATCATCGGTAACCAGGTATAGACGGTGGACAGGAAGCGCTCGCACACCTCTCGCCAGTCATCCTGGACGAGCGTGTGGGCCTTTTCCGCCCAGGGCAATTGCTCGGAGGAGAGGTCATGTTGGCCAAATTTGGAATAATGATCTGGGTCGAGGAAGAATGCTGCAGGGAATGACGAGTTGACGTTTGCATACGAAGGCAGGGGCATCAGGTCGCTGAGCCCTTTCCCTTGGAGGAGCTGTTCCAAGTCGTGCAGTCTTGAGGCGAGATCAGGGTTGGGCGCGGGCTCTGAACCGGCATCACCGGGGCGGTACTCGCATTTTTTGCTGAGCCGAAGACACTCAACCCCGGGTTAGTGGCATGCAAGAAGATTCAGTACACAAGGTCGTCTTACAAGTGAACATGACGGAATGTCCCTAGAGCACTTGCGTTTCAAACGTCTGTCGCACTCGGAGATTAGCCAGCGAGCGCATCATGCCAGGTGGGACAAAACGTACCGACAGGCTCGACAGGCCTGTATCGCGTGGCGGGCGGACATGACGCGACGCCGTGGCTTGGCCTGAAGGGGGAGGGATGGGGGAACTCAAAGGACTCTGTCTACGGAGTACGGAGTAGTACTAATATCCAAGATTTCATCAGTACGTGTGAAGTGCTGCAACTCAGCTGGTGCTGCTGACGTCGACCGAGGCGGGCCCCACCGCCCCAGAGCGGCGACGGACTGGAGCCTCGAGCGGACTCGAGCGGATGCGAAGCGGACATGTCCGCTCCGCCGCGTTAAGTCCGTGGCGGACATGCAGCCGTGCCGGAGATAGTTGCAACTTTGGAGTTTAGAAACTCTGCAACGAGACACGCAGAACCTCCGGGCTTCCTGCCACTGTTCATACAGATATAAATATGCGCCATGTTGCCAATGGAGTGGGAAAAAACAACTCGTCAACCCGCAAGCCTCGATTGCAACGACAAACAGCGCCCGGCCAGCCCACTTACAACTTTACAAGCCGTCGCCCACCAAACCCAAACTTGGCGCTTCCCTCTTTCCACAACACCCATCAGACCCTCAAAATGTCAGACGCATTCCACCCCTACGCCGACCTCTACGTCAACCCCTCCGGCCCGGGAGACCAGCGCCCTACCGCGCTCAGGGTCGTCCAAGACAGCGGCGCAAAGGGCACATGGGCCGGCAGAGTGGTCCTCGTCACCGGCGGCACAGCCGGCATTGGCGTGGAGACGGTCCGGGCCATGCACAGCACCGGCGCAGACGTCTACTTCACGGCCCGGAGCCTCGAAAAGGCCGCTGCCACAAAGGAGGACGTCCTCAAGACCACCTCGGGCAAAGGCAAGCTGGAAGTCGTCGAGATGGACATGGACTCGCTCGATTCCGTCCGCAAAGCCGCCAAGGACTTTCTCGGCAGGAGCAGCAAGCTGAATGTCCTCATCAACAACGCCGGTGCGTTTCCCCAGCCACCTTGACATTACTCAACACAGGATGCATCAGAATCACTGACAATAGGCCCAGGAATCATGGCATGCCCATACACCAAGACCAAGGACGGCTTCGAGCGCCAGTTCGCAGTCAACCACCTCGCGCACTACCTCTTCACCCGCCTCCTCCTCCCGACGCTCATCTCCAGCTCGACGCCCGCCTTCAACTCGCGCATCGTCAACGTCTCCTCCTCGGGACACGGCATGTCCCCCGTCAACTTTGACAACTACAACTTCGACCAACCCGACTCCTACGACCCCTGGCTTAGCTACGGCCAGTCCAAGACGGCCAACATCTGGACCGCCAGCTACCTCGACCGCGCGCTTGGGTCCCGCGGCGTCCACGCCCTCTCCCTGCACCCCGGCGGCATCTGGACCGGTCTGGCTACCTACCTGCCCGACGAGGTGGTGGACTCGTGGAAGAGCGATGAGAAAGTGAGCACGCAGATGTTGAACCCTCCGCAGGGCGCTGCCACCTCTGTCTGGGCCGCCGTCGCACCGGTCTGGGAGGGCAAGGGCGGAAAGTACCTTACCAACTGTAGTGTTGCGAGCAATGCAGCCGGCACCGTGGAAGTTCTGGATCCCGGCGCGGCCCCTCATGCGTATGATGTCCAAGCCGAGGATAGGCTCTGGGAGCTGAGCGCCAAGCTGGTCGGCGTCGAAAAGGATGTCTAAAAAATGCCAGGCAGTGGTTTAGTTCTTGGGCGGATTTGGGACGACGTTGGCACACGTCCTTTCAGATTGATGGAGTTTGTTGACCAAGGATGATACAGCATATGTATATTACAACGTAGGGTACAAGCTATTGATTCTTGATTCATAATTAAATTCGTCATGTAACAAATAGTTGAGCAGAGAACACCACGCCCACAACATACAAAAACAGACCATCACTTCCTCCTCGCCACGATAAACAGCCTCCCGTCATCCCCCTTGGAAGAATGCACCTCCTCGGCGAGAATCTCAAACCCCGCCTCCCGAATCCTCTGCTTCAGCTCAGCCCCCGTGAACTTATTCACGTGCGGCGCCCTGCCGACGGCCTGCATCGCCGGCAGCACCACCCACCTCATGAGCGGATTCGCGCCCCCCACGCACGCCGTCTTGCTGACGAAGACGCCGCCGTCCCCTAGCACGTCCCTGATCGTCGCTACCGTGGCCCACGGGTCGCGCACGAGGTGCAGGTAATTGTACGCCAGCACGGCGTCGAACCTGGCCCTGCTGCTGCGAGCCACGTCCTCGGCCGTAGCTGCGCGGAACTCCAGGCCGGGGGCAACGTCTGGATCCGACCCGCGCTTCTCGTTGGCGATCCTGATCATTTCAGACGACAGGTCCGTGGCGAGGTAGCTGGCGACGCAGGGCGCGAGGACAAACGCCGCGGAGCCGGTGCCGCATCCCAGCTCGAGAACGCGGTCGCCGCGCCCGAGGTAGCTCCTTGTCGCGGCGAGGGTGCGCTGGTAGCCGCGCTCGTCGGATACTTTTGCCTGGGCGTAGGACGCTGCTGACCTGTCCCAGAATGACTTGTCGCCTTGGCTCATGGTGTGTGTACACAGATTTGTTGACAGGCCGAGCACAAGAGATCGGGTGCTTGGTGAGACTGGAAGACGAATTTTGCTGGGCTGCGAATTCTCCAGCAGCGCCGGAGTTACTTCTTATCAAAAACGATGAAGAGATATCCGTGCCGACTGGATTCTTACGTGTCCTTTTCGAGACGACATGCCGCCTGGTTGGCCTAGTATCCGGCGCCAAGCGACTATCTATGTAACGATGAGTTTTCCCTTCAGCTACAGCTTGGGTCTGCAGGCAGCAACACGTCATGTGCTTCCATGTCACATCAAGCCCAATCGACCGCGTTGACAATGTTGCGTTTCTTTTTGACTCTTCTACTTCTTAGCTACTTCGCGCGGCTGAATCATAGGTTTCTCGCGACCGTTCATCATCCATCTAGCTACCGTTCCTGACGTTCCCATTTGCCTCGACTTGGAAACCCTGCACAGCGGGCCAGATGCTCAGCGACATAATTTCCCACCCTGCCAGCCATTTTCTGCAAACCAAACACAATCCACCGATAAAAAAAAGAAACACTCGTCAGCTGGACATTGCTCATACACCCAGCTAGGCACTAAAGTCTATACCCTCGAACAGCATCTTCAGGCTGTTGATGTCCTCGTTCTTCTCCTTGATCCAGCGATTGCGCGTCTCGTAGTCCACGACCTCGTCCTCCGGGCCCAGAGTCTCGGCAATGACCGAGCAGAGCTCTGCAATGCGCAAAAGCCTATCCTATTCCTTTGCCGCAATAGCACCCAGCTCCTCTGGCAAGTAGACTATTTCGACAAGCCTCATGAGCCGCTGCTTGAAATCTGCCCCCCGGATTCCCTCCGAGTTTGCATACCTCTGAATCCTGCGAGTACATCTGCTCCAATTTGTCGGCGTGACGGACGAGATGCCGTCGCGTAGATGCGGCACCATTCTCAAAAACTGAGTCGCCGCCGCCGACTGGACGGGCTCCTGGCGTGTTTGTTGTGTGCTCTGGTCCTGTGCCTGGTTAGTCATACCACTCCGAGGCCTTGGTTCTCGTAGTTGCAGTCCAGGTAGCTCACCTTTTGTGCCATTTGAAGGCCTCTCTCCTTTGTCTTCTCCCGGGCCACGTCTTCGGAAGGGTCCAAGTCCATTGGGATCATGCAGTCCGATATTTCAGATATATCTGACATTGAGTCCCTTTCGTCACTCGAGCTATCGGAATACGGGCCATCGTCTTGTGAAGTGATTGTAGATGGAGCTGCCTGTTTCTGCTGCTGCTGCTGGATAACCTGTTGTTGCTCAGGCTCCCTCTTTCTCTTCGGAAGGACAATTCTGAGCCGCTTGACTGGTGTCAAAGGGCCGTAGTTCCTTGCAGCAACCATTTCTGCGTTTTCTGGGCTAGCGGACGATTTCGCTGGGCGTGGTGCTTTTGTCGGCGACTTCGTGAGCTGTCGATGCATAGCCCTTCCCGTCTTCTCACCCGTTTGCGTCTTGGTAACAACGGCCCCTGGTCCCTGTTTGGAGCCAATCGCAGATACCGGCGTCATTGATACAGCAACTCCATCGCCGTCACCCGCCGTGCGGCTCGCCCCGGCCTTGTGGTCATGATTTCCAGATCCTGGCGGTGTCTGAACTGTTTTGTGACGTCGGCGTGCCTTCTTTGCCGACGGCGGATTCGGTGTTGGCTCAGGTGAACGCTTCGATGCTCTCTTCTTTTTCGAAATTGGCCTCCGAGAACCGGCAGACGTTGTCATGTTCCCTCCTCCCTTGCCCAAGTCTGATCGTTTGGCATGCAGTTGTTCGTGTACTTGTGAGAGCAAAATACCGCAAAACTCATTAGAGGAGTGTGCCTCTCGCAGTCTCCTGGTCGTTTCTCTGTTGAGCTTCAGGGCTGTCGGAGGCAATGCCACGTGCGTTCTGACATTGAGACCATCTGGCAAGCAGATCGGACAGCTGGCACGGGCTCTGGCACCCGTCATCTTTCTGCACGCCCTAAGAAACTTGAGTATGCTGCCTGTCACCTTGCGGAATTCCGTTACCGAACTGAAGCCCTGTCCCTGAGCCTCCTCAAACACATTTTGTATTGAGCCCAGGAACTCTGTCCCTGCCGTGCTGCCCATTTTGCACGTAAAATTGGTTCTTGTGTGAGAGGAGTGAAACAAGTTTTGGTATCGCGGGCTAGGGAGATGCAAAGTTCAAAACGACCAGGCCTTTGAAAATAAATATTTTGGTGATGAAAAAGAACAATAGAGGACGAGACATTGGCCGCATTGCAGCACCCGTGCGACTGCGCAATGCACACCCAAGTACTAATTAATTAATACTTACTACTAGTATACTACTGCCCATCACAAGCAATGAAAGCTCTAACCACACAAGGCTTGATGCTTCCTCTGGAGCTGCACGTTTCGACTTTCAAATGCATCGCCAACACCAACCTCACCTGTGGCAGCTCTTTTGGAGCCCCCAAGCCAGGGGGGTGTGGAAAGTATTGCCTCACCGCCGAGGATACAGAAATTATGCACACACGCACGCCCTTGCCAAACAAGTTCCGCTGGAAAAAGCTCAGTTAATAATACGTCTACTTTACGCTGCGGGCAAGATTATTAAACGTAGCCTGCCAAAATGCCCGTACTCCACGCAAAACAACCAGACCAGAGCTATCTCATCCCGTTAGATCCATTTTTTGACGGCATCTCTATAATTACAGTTCATCGTGGAAATCAGACTCTTCCTCCTGGCTGCCAGGAGCATCACCACCGTACATCTTGGAGGTAATAGGATACGCCACGTTGGACAGCTTCTCCTTCTGCTCCTCGAAGTCCTCGGCGGAAGCGTCGGCACCGTGCTCGTCGAGCCACTCAGTAGCCTCCTTAACGGCGTCGATAATCTAAGCTCAGTATTAGCTAACTGTTGCTGTTGATGGGTGGCAGTCATCACTTTGGAACATGAACTTACAGTTTCCTTGTCTTCCTCGTCAATCTTGCCACCAAGACCCTCGGCATCGTTGACCTGGTTCTTGAGGCTGAAAGCGTAGGTCTCAAGACTGTTGCGAGCTTCAATGCGCTCACGGGTAGCCTTGTCCTCCTCGGCGTACTTCTCGGCCTCAGCAACCATGCGGTCGATTTCCTCCTGGGTAAGACGGCCCTTATCGTTGGTGATGGTGATGGACTCCTGCTTGCCAGTGCCCTTGTCGTGGGCTGAGACCTTAAGGATACCGTTGGCATCAAGCTCAAAGGAGACCTCAATCTGGGGAACACCACGAGGCGAGGGGGGGATGCCAGTAAGATCAAACTTGCCAAGAAGGTTATTGTCCTTGGTCAGAGATCGCTCACCCTCGTAGACCTGAATCAGGACCACAGGCTGGTTATCAGCAGCAGTAGAGAAAATCTGGCTCTTGCGAGTAGGGATGGCGGTGTTGCGGGGAATCAACTTGGTCATGACTCCACCAGTGGTCTCAATACCGAGAGTAAGAGGGTTGACATCCATGAGAAGAAGTTCCTCGGTACCCTCCTCTCCGGACAGAATACCAGCCTGAACAGAGGCACCGAAAGCCACAGCCTCGTCGGGGTTAACCTTCTTGGAGGCCTTCTTGCCAAAATACTCTTCAACGAGAGCCTGAACCTTGGGGATACGAGTAGAACCACCGACAAGAACAATATCATCGATCTCGGACTTCTTCATTTTGGCGTCCTTGAGAACCTGCTCGACAGGCTTCAGGGTCTTCTTGAAGAGCTCCTTGTTCAGCTCCTCGAACTTGGCGCGAGTCAGGGGCTCAGAGAAGTCCTTGCCCTCGAAGAAGGCATCTATTTCAATGCGAGTGAGCATCTGTGATGAAAGGTCGCGCTTGGCCTTCTCCACCTCACGCTTGAGTTTACCCATGGTCTTCTTATTCTTGGTAATATTGACGTCGTGCTTCTTGTTGAAGTTCTTGGCGAGGTAGTCGATGACGCGCTGGTCGAAATCCTCACCACCAAGATGGGTATCACCGGCAGTAGCCAAGACCTCGAAAACACCCTGGTCGATGGAAAGAAGAGAGACATCGAAAGTACCACCACCAAGATCGTACACAATGATATGGCGTTCGCCCTCGGTCTTGTCCAGTCCATAGGCAATAGCAGCAGCGGTGGGTTCGTTGACAACTCTGAGGACATTGAGACCGGCGATCGTACCCGCATCCTTGGTAGCCTGGCGTTGGGCATCCTGCACTGGTTGTCAGTAATGATGACTTTGTTGAATCGGCTTAATAGTGGTGCGCGGGACTCACATTGAAGTAGGCAGGAACAGTGACAACGGCATGGGTGACCTTCTTGCCCAAGTAAGACTCGGCAACATCCTTCATTTTACCCAAAATCATGGCGGAAACTTCCTCAGGGGTGAAAGTCTTCGGAGTGCCCTGGACATCAACCTGGACGACGGGCTTGCCGTCCTCGGCGACAACCTTGTAAGGGAAGTGTTTGAGATCGGCCTGGACGTTTTTGTCACTGAATTTTCGGCCAATCAGACGCCTAAAGATGACTTGTTAGAAAGAAAACAATGCTCCAACTAATGCGTTGAATGGCTGCAATACTCACTTGACGTCAAAAATAGTTCGTTCAGGGTTACCGGCGGCCTGGTACTTGGCCGCGTCACCGACAAGACGCTCCTCATCGGTGAAGGCGACATAAGAAGGAGTAATTCGGTTACCCTGATCGTTCAAGATAATCTCGACGTGGCCCTTTTGCATCACACCGACACAGCTGTAGGTCGTGCCCAAATCCTGTCAAAGAGGCGCAACAAGTCAGCAATCGTGTCAGGGAGGAGGGGAGCAGACCCGTAGTAGCAGTTGAGAGCCGCGCCTTCAGGAGCAACCTGCCACTACCATGGCCTCCAAGGAGATGGAAGTACTCACAATACCAATGACAGTGCCATATTCAGATACGTCGGCCTGGACAGGCTTGACGAAAGCCAGGGGAGAGAAGAGCAGGGTGATCCAACAAAGGAGCCCAAGGCCCAAAGCGAATGTGCTTCGTGATCGAGCCATCGCGGGAGGGGGGTTAATTGCGGAGGCGGAGCCGGTTCGAAGCTATCGTGGTAATGGAAATCAAATACTAACTAGAATAAAGAAAAGAAGAGTGAAAGCTACGTAGCAAGGTGTCTTTGATCCTCAAGCCAGCGTCTTCACCAATTGGGTGGTATGGGCATCGATAGATGAAATGAAGACGGACGGGGATGCATACAAAGAAGAAGAAGAAGCAGCAGCGCGACGCCTTATAAAAATATGTCGAGGTGTCCAGGTGTCCAAAAGAGTGCACAAGAGGCCAGATTTCATGCAAGGCCCTACTGGGGCTGGCTTGCCAGAGCAGGCCCCACTTAGCAGGAGCGAGTCCTCAATGACTCCTCATAGTCTCTTGAGGATCTCGCACTGCATACTTACGGAGTACCTGGCAGAAGGCTTGATGGCAGGTCCACGAGCACTACCTACCCACTCACTTGGTACCCAGGTAGGTACCTAGGTAGTTTGAGTAGGCGCACGTCACGTTGCTGCTGCCAACTGTCGTGACTCGTCTTGTTGCCCCTGCGGCCACTGTCCCAGAGACAGTGCCAGAAAGCCACTGCGCACAGGGCGCTCCATGGCGCTAGGCAGGTAGCACATCGACCCTAATAGAATGTCGCCTCAAGTGGGGACCTCGAGAACATTCGAAACAACAACTACCTATTACAAAGGCAGGAGTCGCCGCAGGACTCTTGCAAGGCACAACACGTTCCCATAAGCCAAGTACAGATATGACCTCAATAGATCATTTCTATGGTGAGCCTGCGGGTGTGAATGCCAACTACTAATTTGCTACCTAGACACGGAGTACCTAGCTACGGGTTATCCCGTGACAAATCGTGCGTCACCATCTGATATCTGGCTTTGTGTATTGGCCTCTCGGAACTAAATGCCACCTGTCTACTCCGTACTCCATGTCATCGACAAGGTTCTCTTTTCACTATGACTCACAGCCATGATAAATCTTAATCCGCGGATACATTTATTCCAATAAGCCGGCAGCAATGGTTTCCCCACCGCTGCGAAGCACAACTCTCTGGCCCTTTTCCAACGGAACCTTGGAACCAAGCTTAATCGTCACGCGAGCCACACTGCCCGGCTGGACCACCTTGGGCTTCTTCTTAATGACCTCACCAGTAGCCTTATCAAGGGTTGCGGGTATTGACTGTATTTGTCCAGCTGCATGTAGACGGCCACGGTGGAGGTCAACGGGCATCGGCATTAGATGCTCGAACGCCATGACCTTCAGAGTGAACGTGTCGCCAACACTGATCGGGTTGACGGTACCGCATAAGATATCGCCAACACGTATGTGGACGGGATCAATATCAGTCAAGGCAATCGTAACACTCTGACCAGCAACTGCCCATTCTTGAGCCTCCGTGTCCACCATGATGGATTTGATATATGTACCCTCGCCGCTGGGCTGCACGATAACTGCATCACCAATCTGAATATTCCCTGCTTCAATGCGGCCAGCAAGCGTTGTTGTGCCCTGTTGTTGGGATCGAAACACTTCTGAAATCGACATTCGGAAGGGTTTCGTGATGGCACGGGCCGATGAAGGCTCTGAATCCTCCAATGATGCAAGAAGAGTTGGGCCCTGATACCATGCTGCAGTTGCATCCTTTATCTTACTGGCGATATTGTCTCCATTCAGACCTGAAATTGGTATAAAGCTTACCAACTTGCTTTGGAAGCCTAGGCCTGTGAGAAACCCCATGACTTGTTGAGAAATCTCGTCGAATCGATCTTTTGACCAACCAACCATGTCAAGTTTATTGACAGCGACAATCAGGCGCTGCACACCCAGACTGCGCAGCAATAATACGTGCTCTCTCGTTTGCCCCTTGAGGCCTTTTTCGTAAGCCCCAGTATTTGCGTCAACCACGAGAACGGCAAAATCTGCCTGGCTAGCACCAGCAATCATATTTGGGACGAAATCTCTATGGCCAGGGGCGTCCAAGATGGTGAACTTGGTGTTCGGGGTTTCGAAATGATTGGTGGCGATGTCGATTGTGACGCCACGTTCCCTTTCTTCCGTTCTCTGGTCCATGACCCAAGCAAGAGCAAAAGATTGTTTTCCTGTCTTCTCTGCTTGTCGACGATACTTATCTACCGTGCGCTCTTGAACATATTTCAGTTCAAGCAGAAGGCGACCCATTAGCGTACTTTTGCCGGCATCAACGTGTCCTATTTACATGTTAGCATAGATGACAGGGGCAAGCCAGTCATCTTCTTTTGTAACTTACCAACGACAACAAAACTGATGCTCTTTTTTCTATTGCTCTTCTCGTACTCTTTGGCCACATCAAGACCTTTGCTCTTTGGGGGCGGAGCGTCGCTGACCCTCAGATTCGAAACGCCATTTGCCACATCTACAACTTTAGATACGGCATCGACGTTCTTGTCTTTTTTCACTACTATCGATGCCGCTTTGACAGGAGCTGCAGTCTTCTTCCCGGCTGAAGAAACATTAGAATTAGCTTGTTATTTCGCCTTTGCGAAGTTCGAACCTTTTGCCTGCGCGGCCAGAACGATATCGTCCGGGCTGGGATTAGAGAATGCTGTAGCAAGGAAGGATGATGAAGCTGCGTATGGCATTGCAAAGAAATCAGGCCTGTTTGCTTGGCGATCTTCTGGAGCGGGACCGAACAAAGTCTTGGCGAAGGCGGATGGTGCACATGCAGGAGCTGGCTCTGCATCTTCTTCTTGCTCTTCCCTTTGTACTGGAGGGTATTGATTCGGTTTACCCGATTCTTTCTGGGGAGCTATGACTTCGACAGGAGCAGCACTGGAGTGTGTATTTTGAGAAGATTCACTCCGTGAGTCGCCTCTGCCTAATATTGGACGCGATGAAGGCTGCATATCGGGGCCACGCAGCCGCTTTGCGGGGCTTGAAGCTCCTTTGGTGTTGCCTTTCTGAGAGTCATCGGTGATCGACAATCTCTTCAAGCCACTTTCTGTCTCTGAAGATTTTGCTTGCTCTTTCTTTTCGTCGTTCTTCTTTTTCCTAGCGGCCGCAAGTGCTTGCAACTTGGACATTTTCGGGGCATCTCCGGCTCCGCCAAGCAATCCGCCTCGTGGCTCAAAGGGTGCTATCAGAGTAGCTTGGCGACTCTCGGGCGTGTTCAACCAAGGCATATCATCGAACTCTGATTGAAGAATAATCGAATTTGTTCTGTAGCTGAAAGTCCTACAAGGCGGTAGAGGTAGTGTTTCAGGTGTTTGTGGCGAGTTGGACAATGGTAAAGCGCTCGCCGCTCCAGCAGATCTTACAAACAGGCCGAGTGATGATGAAAACGAGAACTCATGCAACTTACTCTCTGGGGCCTTTTTCGGTGTGGGTTTAGGCGGTGGTGGTGCAATAAAAGTCTTGGTTAAGTAGCTGGCAGACTTCTCTACATCGAAGTAGTAGTGCCATAGCGCCTCCTGTATCTGCTTGACTGTCACTTTGCTGGCATTGGCACCAAGGGCCTTTTTCACATCGGCAGTGCCCTCCTCCATAGCTTGCTTGTCCTCAGGGCTCAGCTCTTCCTCCTGATCTTCCTCATAGTCGTTCCCATCATATAGGTCATCGTCGTCGTAGAAGTCAGCGGGTGCCATGGTCAACAAAGATGCGGTACAATAGCTAGTCTTTTCGAAGAAGATGCGGACAGTTTGTTTCGCTGTCGGCTTAAACTGGATGCGGGAAAGGGGGGAAACCGTATGGTGTTTCTGAGCCGGTTAGCTTGTTGTCTGTCCGTCATGCCTCGGTCAAAATCAAGGTATGATACGTACTCTGGCAAAATTATGCGACACAAAAAAGGGGACGCACAGGAACACCAGCTGCGCGGTCAACAAAAGAAGCCAAAAGGATGAGGAGTGCTAGCAATGGGCTGCCGAAAAATTGGGCTCCAACATTCAGCCAAGTAGAAGTTTGGCGGGCAGTGAAGACCTGTGTGACTGAACTGATGACGCGTGGGGCAATTCTGGAAAGCCGTCGACGCTGTGAGCAGGTCACACACATGGAGGGGCAGAGAAGCATGGAGCTTCAACGACGAACATTGACTGCCACTTAGGCCCCGCACCAGTGACGCCTGAGCTCCATGCCTGCCCGGCCTCCTGCCTGATGGCCTAGCAGTTAAACTTGCCCCTCCTTGCCCAGCATCGAAGGCACTAACCGCAGAGAGCTGCCCGCTGTGGATACCCACTGACCGCCTAACCGTGGCCGTCTGCAGAAGCCAACAGAACATTGAAGCTGGACCGTTTCGCAACGACAATTCGGATGACGGAGATTTCTTTTCCCGGCGTCCCGCACCGCGACCAGTTCAAGGCAGCACCAATATTCTAAAAATTTGGCTACGACGACAAGCTCCAAGCTTTAGGCCATCGTCATCGCCAGTTTCGGGGTCCTTCTTTTCTGTCGGCGAGTCATATTTTTGGACATAGTCTGGTAGAGCTTTCGTTATAGCAAGCTCGTCACCAACATGTCACTGAGTGAGTGCAACTAGTTGTGGCAATCCAGGGGGGTTTGATAATGACTGAAGCTAACTTGAACTTGGCAGACCTGGATCCTAACAATGGTAATTGCACCATAATGAATCCTCGGGAAACGGGCTTGAGCGCTAACTCATACATCTTCGAATAAACAGCAACCTTTTTGAAGGATGAGCAAGGCCGGCCGTTTATTGTGGTCAGAGAGTAAGTACATGCCCCGCCATTCGCGTTCAGTTCGAACAACGTCTGACAACCACACAGTCAGGGAAGGAAGAAGCGTCAATTCGGAAACGAAGCCGTAAAGTCTCATATACTCGCAGCTAGGACCGTTGCAAATCTCGTCAAGTCCTCCCTTGGCCCTCGAGGTCTCGACAAGATTCTCATCTCCCCTGACGGAGACATCACAGTCACCAACGATGGCGCCACCATCCTACAGCAGATGGAAATCAGCAACCACATTGCCAAGCTGCTGGTAGAGCTGTCCAAATCCCAAGATGACGAAATCGGCGACGGTACCACCGGTGTTGTTGTCCTGGCTGGTGCTCTGCTGGAGCAAGCTGCCGACCTTATTGATAAGGGCATCCACCCTATCCGAATCGCCGATGGTTACGACCAAGCTTGCGACATCGCCGTTGCCGAGCTGGACCGAATCTCAGACACGATCGATTTCACAAAGACAGAGACTGCTAACCTGGTCAAGGTTGCACGAACAAGTTTGGGCAGCAAGATTGTCTCCAAAGCGCATGATCAATTCGCCAACATTGCGGTGGACGCTGTCTTGTCAGTGGCAGATCTGGAGCGAAAGGATGTCGATTTCGAGCTGATCAAGGTTGACGGCAAGGTTGGAGGCTCGCTCGAGGACACGCTGCTCGTCAAGGGTGTCATTGTCGACAAGGACTTTTCTCACCCACAAATGCCTTCTGAAGTGCGAGACGCCAAGATTGCCATCCTGACTTGTGCCTTTGAACCCCCCAAGCCCAAGACGAAGCACAAGCTCGAGATTACCAGTGTTGAAGAGTTCAAGAAACTGCAAAACTACGAGAGGGAGAAGTTTATCGAGATGATCCAGCAGGTCAAGGACACGGGCGCCAATTTGGCAATTTGTCAGTGGGGCTTCGATGATGAAGCCAACCACTTGCTTCTCCAGAACGGTCTTCCAGCCGTTCGTTGGGTTGGTGGCCCCGAGATTGAGCTGATTGCCATTGCCACGAACGGCAGAATAGTACCGCGGTTCGAAGACCTCAAGCCAGAGAAGCTGGGTTCGGCAGGTGTTGTCAGAGAGATGACTTTTGGCACAACAAGAGAGAAGATGCTGGTCATTGAGGAGTGCGCCAACACTCGTGCCGTGACTGTTTTCTGCCGTGGCAGTAACAAGATGGTATGTGTGCCCGTCACACCCTGTCCAATGGACTATGGATTGCTGACACATTGTCTAGATTATCGATGAAGCGAAGCGATCACTTCACGATGCTTTGTGCGTGGTAAGAAACTTGGTTCGCGACAATCGTGTCGTCTACGGTGGCGGTGCTGCCGAGATTGCCTGCTCCCTGGCTGTCGAGGACGCCGCCGTCAAGACGCCTGGTTTAGAACAGTACGCCATGCGTGCGTTCTCTGAAGCTCTGGATACCGTCCCTATGACGCTGGCTGAGAACAGTGGTCTCAACCCCATTTCTACTCTTGCTGAAGTCAAGAGTCAGCAGGTCAAGGCTGGGCCCGACAACCGAGGTAAACTTGGTGTGGACTGCATGGGACGTGGCAACAACGATATGAAGGAAGCGTTTGTCATTGACCCCTTGATTGGAAAGAAGCAGCAGCTTCAGCTGGCCACGCAATTATGTCGCATGGTTCTGAAGGTGAACAACGTCATTGTTTCAGGCTCGGGCGACGAGGAGTTTTAGATAAGTCACGATAGAGAATGGGAATATACCAAATCAAGGTTAAAGGGTACAAAAGTAATGGCACAATAGAGGTTGCCTTGACTCGACACCGGGTCGGCCACATCAAAACATGCAATATTGAGAGCTTCTATCTACTGTGACTTGTTGCTTCTGATTGACAATCATCCGACTGCCAAGAATCGCCAAAGATTAGAGCTGTGGAAAAGAGCCTCGTCTCCAGCTCTCGGAACAAACTCACATCAAGGTGTAAGTGTGTCGTCATGTCCACCCCCCCAAACAGCGCGACCGCGTGTACAGTCAGCTTACTTGGTAGCAGCAGGCTCCGTGATTGCGTGGCTTTTTGTCTCCAGCATCCAAAGGGCCATCCACCAAACTCTGGACTCGGAGTCGGACGGCGTGGCCCCCTGGTAAGTTGGACACGTTCCACGCCAATAGGGCTGAGCGCTCCGTTCAGCCTCTTTTGCTCTTAAAGGCGCGCCACTGACATCGCCAGTAGAAACCATGACCTGTGGAAAAAGAAACTCCAAGCTTTTCCCTCGATGCCTTATTATCTATCAATCTCATAGAGCTATTTAACACCCGCTGTGCAATAGCCCAGGTGTATGGATATGGATTCCTCTCCAAGTCCGGAGTCGGCCTCATCAACGCCCAGCAACAGCCGGCAGTCTACTACTGGCAAACGACGTCCAATTCCCAGAAAAGGACACACAAAGTCTCGTACGGGTTGTCCAAATTGTAAACGACGAAAAGTCAAGTGTGACGAAGCCACACCCATCTGCGGAGCATGTAAGCGGCTGGGGCTTGAGTGCGAATACTCGCTGATGAGAAGAGCTCAGAGGAGTGAAGCTCAACAACATGCTTCACCGTTGGCAGTGGGACGGGCTGTTCCTCAGCCGTTGTCCACGCATCCTGGTTCGTTTGGGTTCTCGGACTTGAGATTCTTTCAGCATTTTCTCATATCTGCGTTTCCGCCGCTGCCAGTTGGGGGGAGATATGTGTGGCAGTACATCTCGCAGATGTCGCATGAGGTATGTTGTCGTGTGTGAGCGTCTACCGGGACCATTGGAAGTGGTACAACGACTGGCGACCTGACTTGTGACGTATAGTACGACTTCTTGATCCATTCGATGCTCGGACTGGGTGCCTCACATCTGAGTCTACTGGCCCCTGGCGACTTCAATCAGTCTGCCTTGCAGCATAGAGTGACGGCTATTGAAAGACTAAACAAATTCCTGTCAAGACCGGCGCTTTCACTTTTGGATACCGAGGCGGCTTTTGCTGCCATTCTCACCCTGACCTTCCAGGCAGCTCACATGCCGGATGGCCTTACAGACTTTCTTACCATGACCCGCGGCTGTACGTCTTCTCGCATGGGGCGAAATGACCCAAATCCGACGACGGCATCATGTTATTAACACCAAGTCCGCTGTAGGTTTTCTTGTCGGAACCCACGTGGTACCTGATCTCGAGAACTCGGCCTTTAAAACATTTGAACGAGACGTCTACGTCGAAAAAGCATCGTCTGTAGCCGCATCAGACAACCACTGGCTCCCCTTGCTGGATAAGTCCATTGCCAACGGGTTCTGCACAAGTCTTGAACAACTCGGCCCCCTGTGTCACAGCGTCATTGACATTGAGCACATTGCCATGATGCGCCGAATAGTGATTTCCGCCACAAATAACATTTACGAATGTCAGACCTGCCCACGCGCATACAGGTAGATAAAAAGCTACCCCTGCTGACCTGAAGCGTTTTGATTCCTAGGTTTCCGCGAGCATTCATTCCTCCACGAAAAAGCAGGCCGCCTCTCGGCCGTTGAATTTGCCGCATTCATCGATCCAAGCAATCACATCGCGCGCCTTGTCATCGTCCACATGCTGCTGTTGGATATCATCATGAGTCGTACAATCTGCGTGTGGGAAGAAGGCCCTCAATTTTCCTTCCATGAGACCCGTCATCGCTACGACGCGCGCAACGTCATGGCCATTGTGTGGATGGAGAAGATATATGATTCGTTGCCAGAAACATATCAGCCGTATATAGAATGGCCGCTCAAGTTTTCGCGGTTTATGAAGACTACATTTCAGGCCGACACCAGTTTCTGGAGACTTGCTTCAGTAGATCTACATGACGATATAGGGTTAGAGACATTGCGGCTTGAGGAGAGTGAGATTTGTGAGTGAATCTATATTGTAAGGCAGGTATACCCGACAAATGAAATATAATCTGTTAACAAACAAAAATCCCCATCTACGAATTGCCAATCTACACCACCGTTGTGTTCTAGTCTAATACATTAGCCATAGTGGGCTTGAGAATGCTCAAGTTTCTTCGTTTAGAAAGTCTGTTGCTTTAGGCAGGACTGCCGTTTACACGTCTCATCCGGAACCACCCTCGCTTGCCAGCGAGCTCCATGGATTCGTCAGACCGAGACTCCTTGGGCTGCGCCGCTCCATCCTGACCGAGGAATCGGCCCGGGTGGTATATGACGAAGATGCCAATGGCGCCAATCATGGGCAAGGTCTCAAACACCCAGAACAGCCACTCGGTGCGGAAGGCATAGCCATTCATGCCCTCGGCAAACTCGCAAACACGATAGATGCACCGAACCTGGTCTTGTCAGAGTCGTGGAGTCTCTGCACTCGGCAAGTGGTCTTCTTTCTTACCATGATCAGGACACTGGAAATGTACACGGATAGAACAACCTGCTGCCATCCCGTGGGGGCCTCCGGTCTCGCCATTCTGTTGGCCAAAACATGAAAGCGCCGAAACACGCAGAGGAACAATCCAAAGGCGACGAGCTGAAAGGACAGCCCTCCGATAAGCACATAGCGGCCAATCTTCTCCTTTTCGCCTTGCCAATTATCCGAACTGGCAATTCCAGAGCCACTGCCCTGTATAAGGAACGAGACGACGTCGCAGACGACAAAGATGGGTGTAAGTCGATTTCCGGGGACGCCAAGAACGCGATGATGCGAGGGGGGCAGGACGGCACGGATGAGGCGGCTGATGAGAAGGTAATTTCCCGCGGCGACAAATACGGGCGCGAGGACGGTAAACGTCAGTGTCAGGACGAACGGGACCTATGGAGCTCTCGTTAGATTTCCGCATAGCTGAGACCTCTGATGCTTGCAGCGGGCGTCCAAGTTTACCAATATGGTGCGGTTCCTGGCAGAATAGGCTCTGAGAACATAGCCGGCTACTTCGACTGCCGCGCCAACAACCACGACAGTAAAATACCAGGCTCTGTAGCGGAAGAATGTCAAGTATGTTATGGCGGTGAAAATCAGGCCGTATACGATTGTGCCAATTACGGCCAGGGCAAAAGATGGGTTGTACATCCAGACATCCTTGTCGTCGGCCATTTTGGGTGTAAATTTGTCGTTTAAGGATTATTAGACAAGAAGGATTTGGATTCTTCTTTTTGGCTTCTGAAACAAGACTCGATTGTTGTCAAGATGCTAGGTTCTACAACGAGGCACATTCCCGCTGGGTGGCTCTTATAAGTTATACCTCTCCAACATTACGTGTAAGTGCCTCGGATAGAATCCGACGAGTTTACGATGCGGCGCCAGCTTCGAATAGCACAGCCCACAGCCCACAGCTTAATTCAGTTCAAATTTGTATCAGATTGATTCCGTGCTGGCGTCTACAATAATGACAGTATGCCCATGGGAATGGCATCGTCTTGAAAGCCGTTAAGCTCGTTTGCCTCTTTGGGAAACTGTGGGTCGGGTTGACGTTGGACAATCCGATGGATGCGATGGACCAATCAGCTTTGTCCTCTTGAACCCTCCAGATGTCGCACAACCAATCGTCCCGAGCTACAGAGTACGGAGTAGATGTTTGCAAATCTCGGTGCCCGGGGTGCCTGGCTCCTGGCTATCTTTCACGAAGTCTCTTTCGCTTCCTTTCCAGTTTTGAGTTTAGAGCTGCTCGGGAGACGACATTGATGATGCGGCCCCCTGCGAGAGACGCGTGGACAAGCGAATGATTGAGCAATGCTCTTCGATACCTGGAGGCTGGAATGATGGCGACGGGAGGGCATGCAGGGTCTGAAGGGGCATTTCTACTTGGCAGTGGAAGGACTCGTTTACTGGGAAGGGAAACCACGAGTTTCTCTTACTGCCTCGTAAGGCGGGCATGCCGATTTTCCAGCTGGTCAGTTGAGCCTACGGCTTACCATGGTGCTTACATGAAGGCGACCTGGTGCAATTTCACAGCTACCGATGTCCCAAGTGTCACGAGCAGTCATGTGCCTCCCATCAAAGCCTTCAGTGGCGGCGTCTGGAAATGTGTGAGTCGAGAACTCGAGAGACGTCGTGACGCAAAACTAATATAGTAATATTAGGGTTGCACTCGCATGTCCAGGGATGAAACAGGGTCGCGTGCTTATCCGGCAGAAATAAAAGAAAACTCGAATTCAAATCAATGTTGCGATATTATTACCATCACCATCACTGTTATTACTCTTTGGGCCCCGTGGACATGAAAAGATTCTCATTTGTCAATGGCCGACCTCATATGTAAGCGTTGGGTCGTGTCAAAACACCATCCATCAGCATTCGGACCTGCAATTACATTAGGCAGCCAGCTGAGGCGGTGCAACATGATACAAGCAGGCGGATGAGGGGTCAAGGAGGGCATGCTCGTCCGGTATCATGGCGTTCGGCAGCACGTCGTCCAGCTGAAGTCACGGCGCGGAACTCGACGCCCCCAGAGTGCGAGGTTACATTCTTGCACACGCTCTGGTCCTGGACTCCTGGACATGCTGCAGGCCTTCAGGCGCCCAGGGACACATGCACACTGGCACACATGCTACATGCTACATGCTACATTCTACATTCTACATTCTACATTCTACATACATGCTCCAGCCTGTTGTGTTTGCTTCTGCGCTGTGGCTTACATGATCTGCCGCAAGCGTGTGGTGCTCCGTGGATCGTCAGCAGATGGCAGCTTGGCCGCCTTTGCATGGTGGCGGAGAGTGGACGCAGCGGATGCTCTCACCGTCTGTTCCGGAGGGGTGCCACTTGGGCTCTATGAGGCGGGAGGAAGAGGAGGACGAGGACGAGGTAGAGCCAGGCGAGTTGAGCGCTGGCTGAGGGTGATTGATGGTGGTGTTGATGGCCTGGTGGTTTGTTTCTGTAGACGGAGCCGGCGCCTGTCAACTCCAAGAGTCTGACGGTGAGAGACGACGAGATTTGCTACATGTAGACGATTGCCATGAAAAAAGTCGAGCACTTTGGGACTGGTCACTTGTGCCTGGGAACTGCCGTCGACATGGAAATGCAAAACAGGTGGATGTAGGTGTGTGTGCTTCTCGGGCCGCATCCGTAATGCTTAAATATGAACCAAGGGGCGGAGGCGGATGGATGTCTCGAGCAGTTATTTTTGTTTTCCTTTTTTTAAAAAAAAAATGAAATAAAATAAAATAATTCTACAAAATAAAATAAAGGGAAATAAAAATAATAAATTAATAAACCATGCCACATGGGCCTGCTCCATGTCCCCTTCCGGCCAACCGTATTCGCTGGCCCAAGGCGGCGGCGATCTCACCGCCCTCCTGCCAGGTCGCGCCTGCCTCTGCTGGTCGCAGATGCACGAGTTGACGCTTGACATGAGCTGGTGAGATGCCAGACTCTTTCCCCGCCTCTTTTGGCCTCACACATTCGCACGCCTTTCACACGCCTCCCACGCTGCATCTCACCCTTGGTCATCTGGGTCATCTGCCTTCGCTTTGCTGAGCTGGCAATCAACCCCCATGTTGCCCCATCCGTCATTCCCGCCCGTGGCAAATGCAGCACATCGCACACGACGCAGCCAGATGCATCCTCATCGTACCCGCGTGGCCGCGCCCAGCCCGTCAACCGTCAAGGCCGCCGACCCGGTCAAGCACAGCATGCGAGACCAACTTTGGGGATTCGGCATGTTCCACCTCGCTTGTGTTTGTTCCCAAAGGTACTTTCAGCTTGCGGGACCGTCCCGCCTGAAATGAATGAAGCCTTGCTGTGACTGTGCTCAGAAGGGTCGGATTCGAACACACGCCCTGAGCCCAAAACATGTTGCGGTGAGGACGCATGCTCTCTCACAGGCTCAGACTACGTGATGGATTTTTGGCCGCCGTGGAGCTGGCCATGGCAGTCTTTAGTCTTCACCTGCCGCGGGACAACTCAGCGACCCCGTGGTCACGGTGAAGCTGTCACGGAGACCAAGACTTTTGGCGACATGACGAGACGGACAGAGTACAGGCCCTGGCATTGCCTACATGGAAACCAAGTACATACACCTGCCGCGAGGGCCAAATCAGTTTCTCGCAGACCTACGATGACGCCTACCGTCGGATGATGCATCGTCATAGCCGCCGCTCTGTGCTACTGCATGCCCACTGCACACCCGCAGCCCGTCCAGCGATCGTGTCGACCAATTCAGCATCACCGGACTCCGTAAATTCAGTTTCTCTCCTTCAAGACTATTCAAAATATCAAGTGCACAAAGAATTGCTGCCCACGGTCCTTGGCTCACGCCCCTCCTGCGTCGTCGTCGCCTTAGCCCTCTTGCAACGTACGCCGGCCACCGGAAGTGATGAGCCTGCGTTAGTGCCACCCTCGGTTGCCAAGCTTGCTTATTTTTGATGTCTCGCGGGCAATAGTGGGAAATGACGTCTTTTTTCTTCTTTCCGGGGGGGCGACGGCATGTCCCCATGTGATAATTTGCCAGCAAGAGGCATGTTTAGTTCTATTGGGTATTGATAGCCCAGTACATTAAAACGACGCACAAGATCTAAGCATCATTCATCCAAGTCGTCTTCTCCTTACAGACGGATACTGGACCCCGCTATCGGCGAGTTGAGACGGCGGGCTGCAACCTCTGGAGCATTCCGTATCCGAGACACGGGGTGATGGGCTCATTTAAACCATGAGCACGTACGGAGTATGGACTCATGGATTAGTAGTACTCCGTATGTAGAATGAGAATGGCAATGGTGCTACGTGACACATCGAGTCTGTCAACACTGCTTTTTGTCCAACTTGCCGCTTTTCGGTCTCAGTCTGTAGGGATTAAGCCGCTGTCTTGAGACGGTTAGCTGACTCGAAGACATTTGCTGTGTAAACAGGTCTTGTGAGATTCGTTGTGCCAGCCTTTTGTGAATTCCTCCAAACGTCGGCGGGTGCGCGCCAAGGTTCATGTATGGAGTACCATGGCGTCGTGATGCAAGAGAGCATGAAATTGAACGTGAGGATGAGGTGTGGTTCGAATCCACGGGAAGACATAAATCATGTTTGAATTATATTCTGGACAAAAGAGTTGTTCTCGACTTGACATGAGACTCCTTTGAGTGCTAAATGGCAGCTCCACGAGGACCCTCGCGATGCTGACAGTCAGTGGCCGTGATTGATTTTAAGTTTTGTGACAAAATAGCCCTGAAATGGCAATTGCAAAAGCTGCAGAGGGCGATTTTATTTTATTGGCTCGCTACCATGGGAAAGCGCTATGATGATGGTAGGTTCACTCGCCGTGCCGAAAACAAGTCAGCGAACTATAGCTACCCTGGACCATTAAGGAATATCGAATATCCATGGCATATGAGTCTGACCAACAGATTTGGGAGCTCAAGTTGCACAAAACAAGGTTGGGTAGAAATGCCAGGCTGGAGGCTTGACAAGATCAAAGGGAACATTGCATTTTAAGGGAGTATCGCAACTATTGCCAGCTGCACTAAAAAAAGGGGGAGGAACCTTCGTTCGTTCGCGTTGACACTATTTCTCCTTCTCACAGGGACATCCAGTCAATTTATAATTAACCTCCCGCTACTTACCTAGCGACGCGCCTACTTAGTAGAAAGGCAGACAGCCTGTTTCTTTGCTTAAAGCTTAGGCACAAGAGTAAAGAATGAAGAAAAGAGCATAGTGAGTCACTGCCTGACTTTGGACTTTATAAAGCCGGGACCCTCCGTGCGACAAGATCAGAATCATTCAACATTTCAATACTAGTTTGAATTATCTGTCGTTATACAGCATGCCTCGGCGACTCGTTACCGTCAGGCGAGTTGCCCTAGTCACTCCTATCCCAGGCGCAGACCTGGTCGAGGCCGCAACCGTGGACGGATGGACCTGCGTGGTGAAGAAGGCCGAATTCAACGTCGGTGATTTAGCTGTATATTTCGAGATTGACAGCTTCTTGCCCGCGTCTGATGAGCGCTACTCCTTTCTCAAAGTCAACACTACCAAGCAGGACGAATTCGAAGGCATCCGCATCAAGACCATCAAGCTGCGAAAAGTCTTGTCCCAGGGCTTGCTTCTACCACTTGCCACGTTCCCCGAGATCAAAGGCACTCTCGACAGCATGCAGGACCAACATGGAAAAGAAGATGCCGAGAGCAAGATACAGAGCATGAGCTTTGAGGACGTCCTCCGCGTGCGCAAGTGGGAGCCGCCGGCACACGAACAAGGCCCATCCGCAGCTGGGCTGGCACCGTTTCCCATATTCATAAACCGGACCGACCAGGAACGTGTGCAAAACCTGCCCAACGTATTTCAGCAGTGGGGTGATGCCGTCTTTCAAGAGTCCACCAAGATGGATGGATCTTCCATGACGGTGTACTTTGTCCGCAACGACGGCACCCATCTAGACAGCCTTCCTGCATTCGCACACAACGAACACGACAAGATTCGGAACATGCCGAACGGCAAAGTGGGAGTTTGTTCCCGCAACTGCGACATTGCCCCGGACCCAAACAACACCTTCTGGTCCGTCGCTCTACGAAACGACTTGCCCTCCAAGCTCAACCAACTCAACCGCAACATTGCCATCCAGGGCGAACTCTGCGGATCATCGATACAGAAGAACTTTGAGGGATTTCAGAAAGGGATTCATGATGTATACCTATTCAACGTGTGGGACATTGACTCGCAGAGGTACTTGCTGCCGCGGCAAGTCCACCAAGAGTTGGCTCCGAGCTTGGGGCTTAAGCATGTTCCTGTGACTGGGTATCGGCCACTGAGCGAAGTTGCGGTTGATTTGGCGGGCATTCTGGAATGGGCCGAGGGCAAGGGGATCAATGGGCGGAAGAGGGAGGGCATTGTGTTGAAGGAGGTTTCTGGGGGGTTCAGCTTCAAGGCGATTTCCAATTCTTATTTGCTCCGGAATGGACAGTAGTCGCTGGGCTGGGAAGCTCCATGTCCGTCTATGATGGCGGCATGCAGCGGCGAATACAATCTTTACTTTTCACGCTTCAAGGGGGTATGCAATAGATGGTTATGACTCTATCCCGGCCGTGACTCACAATATCATTATGAGCCATCAATTACTCAGTAGTGAAAAACCAGAGCGAATCAAGTCAAGGCATCACCAACGGCGCTAAAACTCGATATGGAAAGTGAAATTCAGCAGGAGCCTCCCATTGACCCCACTTTGCAACGCCACCATCCCAGATCCCAACGTCCGTCGTCAACCCTCGTTGCGAACGTGACATAAAAGGACTCTCTGTGCTTCTCTTCCCGTCAACGGGTTTTCTTCTCATCGCATTCTATCTCATTGTATTGACTTGGTGTTGCTGACCGGCGTTGGGTGTTTCCTTTATTCCAGAAAACAAAACAAAAAAAATCCAGAAAACAAATCAATCCTCCATCTCACCCGTCATTCCACTCATCATTCCACTCATCATTGGCAACGTCGTCTCTACCCGGGGAGCCATGATCGCCTTGAAGACTCAGACCGACGGCCCACCACGGACCCGAAAACAGGCTGTGGGAGAAGCACCATCTTCTAGGGTCGTGTCCAAACCGGTCCCGACTTCCCAGGCAGATGACCCTCGTGGTTATCAGGTCGAGCAACTTCGACGACGATTCTCCCCAAAGGAGTCCACTGCTGCTGATGGGACCACGTCCCTGGTGTTCAAGTTGAAGCCCTCAGACCCCGACTTTCCCTTTGAACTGGCCCACCTCGAGTGCCATGTGCGCGTCCCCGCCAATTATCCGGATGAAAGACCGGAGCTGCGTGTAAAGAACAGCAACATCCCCCGGGGGTTTGGTATCAATATCGAAAGGGGTTGGGACAGGCTGGCCATGGAGAGGAAGGGAGCCACTATTCTCTCTATTGTGAATGCTCTAGATAAGAACTTGGAAAAGTTTCTGTCCGAGGAAAAGGTAGAAACAGTCAAGTTGGTGGCCTTTAAGGATACAAGGCATCTGGATGATGCCGTCTCTGTCCCGACGCCGGAACTGAGCGGCGCGCCAACTGAGCCAGTCAAGTCAAAGCCAGCTGCAAGACCCTATATTCCGGAGGAGTCATACTCAAAGGAGCAGATTGCCGAGGCCAAGGCGAGGAGAGCCCAAGAAGTTCGCCAACTGGAGGCACGCATGGGCAGGCTGCCTAGGTTTCGACGCTCGGCGGATGGGATTGTGTTTACCTTGCCGATCGAGCCGAAGAGAAGGAATGAGCTGCCTCCTGGCCTTCACTCCGTCAACAGTCTCCACCTCATCGTTCCGCTATTGTACCCGCTGCAGGATCTCAGAATCCAGCTCAACGAGGCGGATGGCGTTGATGCGGAACCAGTGGAGGCATTGTTTGCGGTCAAGGCAGCACAGCAAAAGTCCATGTCTCTGATGAGCCACATGAACTATCTTGTCCAGAACATACATGCTCTAGCCAAGCAAACCCAATCGATGGCGCAAAAGGCTGCGGCCAAGAAGCAAGAAGACACAGACAAGGCCAATACAGTCGACACATTTGTCGCCGGGCCGTCCGGTGTGTCTGCTGAAGAAAGAAGCCATGTCAAAGTCATACCGCGACCACCTGAATGGGATTTTGTAGAGGATGACGAAGATTCAGACGAATCCTACTCCAGCGCATCGGATGGAGAAGGCGGCGTTGTTCTACTGCACAAGGCGGATGCAGAGTCGGGCGCGGAGCCGGAACCAGCGCCATCACAAGTCACAGAAGTTCAAGAGCGAGGCACCATGATGTCCTTCCCGTCCATTGAGCTACACGGCATCGAAGTCATACAGGTGTCCATTCTCAGCATCAGCGTAAAATGCGAACGCTGCAAAACAGTCAACGACATGACGGGTCTAAAGCCAGGCACGGAGAAGATGGCAAGCTGTAAAAAGTGCGCCACGCAGCTCACGGCCAAGTTCAGCCAGACCCTCGTCCACGAAAACTCGTCCCGCGCGGGGTTTATCGATTTGTCCGGCTGCAAAGTAGCCGACATGCTCCCCAGCACCTTTATCCCAACGTGCGCACGCTGCTCAACTGCCAGCCAGGGACTCGTGTCGGTCAGGGGTGAAACCATGACCAACATTTGTCGCGAGTGCCACGGCAAGTTCACATTCAAGATTCCCGAAGTCAAGTTTCTCTTCGTATCGCCCGGGTCCCTGCCGCCGGCGACCGTCGGGCCCCGGCGAAGGACGGAGAAGCTGGGCCTCCACGCCGGAGAGGCGCTCCCGGACAGAGGCACCTGCGCGCACTACCGAAAGTCATTCCGCTGGTTCCGCTTCTCGTGCTGCCAGCGCGTGCACGCGTGCGACAAGTGCCACGACGGTGCCGAGGACCACGTCAACGAGTGGGCAAACCGCATGATATGCGGATGGTGCAGCCGGGAGCAGAACTACGCGGTGGAGGCGTGTGGTTTCTGCGGACGCAGTGTCATTGGGAAGAAGGGCAGAGGCTTCTGGGAGGGCGGCAAGGGCACCAGAGACCAGCGGACCATGAGCCGCAAGGACCCAAGAAAGTACAAGCGACTTGGGGACGTGAACAAGAAGGAGGGGTGATTGCCTTCTCAAGTTGGTAGAATGCTACAATGTGTTGGTTGGTTGGAATGTCTGCTGGTGCACCCAACAGTTAGGTGTTGGTTCACGCCTGTATTGTAGTGTAGGCTGCAAAGTTGCAAGCACGGCATAGAACCAATTACCAGGCAGTATTTTACTTAATCCACGGGCATCACTCGCTCTTCGTTGACACCAGACATCTCATAGTACTACGATTCCAATGCTTGAGAATCACAGGGCATCAGACAGTGTCCACTGCCATTCGTCCCGCTGCGATGGTCGACGGCTGTGTGATTTCCGCCACGCCCCCCCCAAAGCCATGATAATCCTGTGTGCCGCTCCAAAACGCAAACGCCTCAGCACACATGCATACGCGCCGCTCACCGCTCACAAACGCGGCGGAAACACGTGTCCGCGCATGGCTGAGAGCCTTGGTTTGCGGCAACAACGTTATACGATAATACGACAAAATGCGACCCTGCCGGCATCTGAGCCCCAGCTGCCGGGCGCCTACTATGGCGCGTCGATTGGAGAGCGGCGTTTATGCGCTGCGTTTGTCGCACTGCCTATGTACGTATTCTTTTTTCTTTTTTTTCAAGGCCACACCGTCTTGGTGAGGATTATTACTACTAGTAGTATTTTTTATTTTTATTTTCTTTTGGACAAATCGCAAGGGCTGCGCGGAATGTTGTGGCGGCTGGGTGATTCAGCTGTGCCGCCGGGTGGTCGGCACGTCACCCTTGGGAGGGAAGCGCATTTTGATACGTAGATACCTTTGCATGGAGCGTTGCACGGAATAAGACTTTTTTTTAAATCATGCATCCATGTAAAAGAATAAAAAGTGTTTTAAAGTATTTTAAAATCCATGATTAGTTTTTTTTTCTGGCGTCTAGAGTCAAATGGTGAGCTGAAAGTGTTTCTCCGACGACCCCTTCAACCCAAGGGGACGTTTAGCTTCCCGGGGATTGTCCGTATACACCACGTAGCGTCGAGATGGGGATAGTCTGATGGCAGGTAACGTGGAAGGTTCCCAGCAGTCTGGGTCTGGCTTTGCTAGAGTCTATTTTGCCTTTTTTCTTTGACGGCAGTGGTAATGCCGTTGTAGATCTGGGGTCTGGTACCGTCGTCGCAGAAGTTTGTTTCCGCCAACCAGGTGACGGGCCATGTAGGCCGGCGTGGGCTCTGGTGCTACGAGGCGGAAGTTTCTTTTTGACAGCCGGTGTCGTGGTCCAAATGCAGGCACTGGGGAGCGTGTCATTCAAGGTCGAGGGCTGCACAGGTGAAGCAGCACGCCGTGTCGTTCCCGAAACCGTCAACTGGTCCAGTCGGCTCCTCACGTGGCCGGGTCTTTGGACGTTCAATGTTGCTCATCAAACGTCAATGCCAGCCCGCACCCATGCGCGCACGACTGAAGACGCGAATCTCGTCCAACTTGACGCTGCGTCACGACGGCCTGCGCGCCTTCGGGCTGGGACGGTCCGTTCACGTCGCAAGGTCCTCGACCCCGAAACAACGGCCGCCTCCGTGGATGCTCGGGCTGCCAAACTGCCATCCTTATTTTGCACGCCGGGTGGTGGAGACGGCGTCCATCAGCGCTGACGTCGGCGTCCCCGTTGACGCTTTTAGCAACGGGGGTGCTGGTCGTGTATGTATGTATTGTGTCGATTGATTACGGACCAAAACGGAGCCCCGGCATCAGGCCACGAGGGTCGCATGGGAGGAAACCTTGGTACTCGGTATACAAGAGAGGACTCTTCCCCGGCCCGGGCAAGGTATAGTTTGGGGCTAGTAGTATCATCATGTAGGCGTTTTCCCCAGGGTTCATGAGCACTGCTGCCCTGCGAAGCTGATGCTGCGTGTCAATGCGCGCGCTCCCTCTCCCTTTGAGAGGCCTAGCAGCGCGAAAAACAAAGTAAAAGTTAAAGTAAGGATGCGTCCGTCAAGGCCGTGCCGTCCCTGTGCCGTCCATGGTGCGGTCGTTTGCCTCTCCACGCTCAGACAAAGCACAACCGTGGCCTTCAATGTTGATGAAGACACCAAGGGCCAATGGAACGCCCTCCCTGATGCAGACAGCAGACTAGGCGAGCGTGCGCTGTCAGAGAAACTGCCAGGATGATCGTAGACTCGTGCGAGACCAGTGACATGTGCTAGCTCAAGTGTCACCTCCACTTATCCCATACTGCATGATCACTCGGTAGCGATTCTTAAGTAGTATAAGAGACTTGATGCGGTCTGACGTCTTTTGATGCAAGGATGGTGAGTTTATTGGAAGCTTGTTCAAGGCGAGAAGGAGACCCTATAGCGAAGTTGGTGTCAAAGATGGCAAGACCAGTTGGCAGTTGTTTTTGCGACAGAATCCCCTCTTGACAGTGTTCATGTTTTCGAAATCAATCGCAATCAAGCCAAGAACACGTGACCGCCAGCTGTCTGCACGCTCCTGCCAGATGAAAGATGAAAAACCATATTATAGACAACTTTTAGCTTTGCACTTTCCACAACCTTCGCAGTCGCAACCGCCCAAAGTCCCCAGATGCGAGGGACTGCGACTTGCTTGGGCGCCCAGCGGTCGAAGAGAGTTGAAGACACATTGTCCCTCCCGCACCCTCGGCAGGCGATCTTGGGTCGAGCCCAGCGGCCAATGAGAGGGACGGGCTGACTCGGCTCCCCTGTCACCGGCCCCGGGAGGCTCTTCCCGGCGCCGTTCGCGCATCAGGGGCATCGTGTGCTCGGGTCGGTGGCTGTGTTTGTCCTTCAGGACAGCAACGCCCCCTTGTTGCCGGCCAATTTCGCGAGCCGGGGCATGAAATTGGCAGGCAACGGTGATTTTAAATCAGGGGGCTTTATTTTATTGTCTTTTTTTTTTTTTTCTTTTTACACAAAGAAAAGAGGATCCGAAAAGCCCATCTGTCTTGTGGAAGAGGGCTTCTCTGGTGCATGACTGCAAGTGCTTTGTCAGTATACAATATCCATCTCAGTTGGTCGAATAGACGTAATGCGCGGCGCTGGTGACAATTCTCCATGTACGGAGTATGCGCGTGCGATTCCCCTGCATGCGAATCATGTGCCGTGTGGGCTTCAGCGCAAGTGGCATGAAGAAGAAAACGTCTATGCCAGGACGGGCTATTCTTCCACGCATAATTCTATTATTCTTTCAGTCTTTAAAATAATAGTAATTAAAAAGTATAAAATAAAAATAAAACCAGAGAATAAATCCCCCCCAACTTAGTCATGTTCTCGACGACACGCCCCCCTTGCCCCCCTGGTTGTCACAGCTTCTCACACATCACCTCCCGAAATCGAGTCTCCCCATGTCCAACAGGCAGCATTGGGTAGGTTTCCAGACTTTCCACGCGCTATCGGGAACCCCCTGGTTGCTGCCCAAGCCTCCTCTTTTTTTTTCTTGTCCCTTGGGCAATCAAAAGGACACGCCTTGCCAACCCCCGGGGTTCCTGACTCTCGGGCCGTGCGCGGGCTGGGATGTGCGGCTTGAGACGGTGGGTTCGGATCAATTACGTGACGGGACGAGCATCGCGATAATGTCAGAATTTGGACGTGGCTGGCGGCCCGTTGGTGTGACTACGCTGCCGAGCCTCGGTTGCGCAAAGTGGTTATGGGATTCTGTGCGGTCTTGCCGAGTACGGTAAACAAACAAATTTCATACAATACATACACCAAACAGGCGGGGGAACGTGGCAAATATTCCAATCCATCCATCCATCCATCCAGAGGGAATAGTACACATTTCGCAGTACCGGGTGGTTTGTCATGGTGAAACACAGCCGGTTGGTTGGCTGAGTCGACGACGGAATACATTGCCGGTTCCGCTGTTTGACTACCTTGGTCGCTACGATATTGCCCAGCCGCCGTGTTGGTTATCATTACGTCAATCTTTAGGGGCGAAAGAACAAAAAAAAAAAATGCAACATGGCCTCTGAACAACTTGGTCCGCCCAACATGCGGTAATTTGCATCGACCTCTTCACACATGGGCGTGTTTGGGCTTTGAGCAAAGGCGCAGCGGCGGTTGGTGGTGCGAAAAGCCCGCACAGGGCGTCGAGACAACGGGGGGTTCAAGCAATGTGTTCCTGCAATAACAAGTCAATGTGAAATTGAAAAGGACGCAGCAGGATGGAGCGGACCAGAGCGACTTTTCAATTGTTCGGTGTTAACAATGGCGAGGAGTCGGAGTTTACTATTCCTTCTTCTTTTTCCACGAGCACAGGCGCACTCACTTGCATAACGTGGGTTGGTTGTGCATGTCTCGATGCGCATTGCACGTCAGGAGTACGGAGTACGGAGTAGGAATAGGGTTTTTTGAAGACGCAAGACATGACAGGTCGCATGCATGAAAGGAAATCGGCTACCAACAAAAGACGTATTATTTTCCCCTTCTTTAAACAAAAAAACCACATTATAATATCCGCCAGCAAAAACATCAGTACGTCTGCTGCTCTTCAATGCCGACAAGACAGGGCCAGCAAGAACAAAACTCTATTGTCGATGACAGATGAGGAGATGGAACGGACCCCTTGATCTTGTCTCTTTCCTCCGCCCCAGATTCTCCAACCGTTGAAGCCCCGCCCGGGCCTGTCTCATTTTTTTTTTAAAAAAAAAAAATCCCTTTTTTCTTTTTTCCCCAGAGTCCCACCTCGCACAAGGACCAGACAGCATCCCCGTAAAACGCCACTCCAACTGGAAAAGGAAGCTACGGCTCGTCCACCAAAACGGGCATGTGCAAACAACGAGGCAATACGGAGTAGTTGGCATGTGTCAACTCGTACATACATGCAGCTCGGGACAAAAGCGACATTGAAGGTACCAAAACGGCCATGTACCTCTGTCGCGGTGGGCTGGGGGTTCCGCCGCCCCGGGTACTCACGGGATGCGAGATATATTTCCGCTCTCTACACCGCAACAACAACAAACATGGGCATCCTTAACAAAGGACCATTTGACCTTGGGAAGAAGCCGGCAACACGGCCGGCATCGAGTTTGCATGTACATACGTCAACTGGTAGTATTTGATGCTTCATCCCCCATGCCCAGTGCGCCACAGGGTCTCGTTTCAGCTCCCCTTCCAGCGGTGGCTTCCCCAAAGCCAACACCGCGTCATCTCACTGAGTCGCATCGGCGCGACGGTTCACATCTCACTTTTTGCCGGGCGCGCGGGGGACAGCCCCGGGCAAAACGGCCGTCGTCCCCGACTCGCAGGCAGAGTCAGTCATGTGTGAGCCAGGCGCCCCCCATTCGGCGCGTACGACCCCCATCCACTGAGCCGTTACGGCATGGCTGACACGTCCGCGGACGCCTCTTGACTCTTGACTCTGTTTTTTTCCTCTTTCCCCAGATTTTTCTTTTGCTGCGACAGACTTCGGAGCCGTCGCCAAGGAGGGAGGGCGTGTGCCCAAGAGCCTGTGTGGCGCCATGTGGTGGCTTTTGTGTTTTTTGGTATTGTGCGCGTGCCTCGAGGCCGGGGCTGCATTTAAATTGAGTGAATATTTGGATTTAAAATAAAATAAAATATAATTTAATATCCAGATAGCGGAAGGATGAGATATTTTGGACGTCTTCGTACTACAGTACCCTGTACGTGGTGAATTTCAAGACAGCCAGCGTCGGCGCTTGGTAGCATCGTCGCGTGGCCATGGTTACATTGAAATCCCAAGGCAGCGGTGTCGGATGGGGCCATGGGGCCAGTCGGAGACCCGGGGAGCCGTGCCCGTCTCGACGTTGGTGCTATGAGAGGAAGGCGAAAGAATACTAAGAATAAGAAAAAATAATAATATAAAAAAATAAACATGTAATTTTATTTCATGATTTTTTAATTAAAAAACAATACATAGAATCTACACACACTTGGCCGTGCAGAGCCGCACGGGCAGACCAGTCATTTTGGCGGGCAAACAAGCGCGGCTGCACCACGCCAGCGTGGCGGTCATTGTCTGCACATGCATGTGGTCTCTTCATGGCAGGCCAGGTAGATGCCGACTCCTGCCGCCGGCACTGGCAATCGCTGCTGGCTGGTGCCATCGCCTCGGCTGCAGAGCGCTAGAAACTAGGCGCAGCCCAAGGCAATCAATTGTCACGGGTCGGCTATTGAAAACCCCCAAGCTCAAGTGCTCCCAGTGCCATGTCCCTTTGGCCCGCGCCACAGCCCGTGGCTCCCCATCCTCACGGACGAGCCGCGTGGGCCACAACTGTCAAGGTATTGTAGGGCCCATTGAATGAAGCTGCACCAGACTTGACATGTGCACATTCGCAAGCCTTGATTCTTCAAGCCCCCAGCCCGTCCTCAGCCCACGAATAGGCCGGCAATCAGCCGCTTGGGGGGGCTTCCGAAGGGCGGAAAAAGCCACGGTTGACCGTGTGCGGCGGGCATGAGTCGGCCGCGGCAGCAGTAGCGACTGGCTGGGTAAAGGGCCTGGTGTGCGCCGAGCGTCCCTTGACAAGCCGCCACCGTGAACAATCAATCCATTGAAGAAGCATTGGGGATGCCACATGTGCCAGGCACTCGGCAGTGGTTTTTGCCCGCTGTAGCTGCAAGAGTTTACGGCGCCGGAGGTGCCTGGCCAGATGTGTCCATTGAATGCAGGCCGCGCCAGGCTGCATGTGCTATTGTCGATTGACGCTGTCCACAGCAGGTTGCCTTGGCTGCTGGATGGCACACACACAGTGCACAAAGGCATGAGCGATATCCGCGCTTCCTCGCCGAAAAGCCAACATGCCTGCGTGCAGCATCCTATGATTCCCATCCAACGCGAAAAGCTCCCAACCTCACAAAAAAAAAAAAAGGAAGAGCCGCGCACCACCTGGCCAATCGTCCTGTAAGGGCCATCAAGTCGCCCCTTGCCTGCAGCCGCTCCGCTCCTCCCCGCCTATTCCGCTGCCCTCTGCCCTATCTCGGTGTTACTGCATCCAAGTACCGGGTCACTGCTTGCACAAGTCAAATGCCTGGTATACCAGCATTAATAACAGCATTGAGCACAGGGTCTGCATGGCCGCCCCCCCAGCCACGGCGGGGAGGGGGAATTCAACAATCGCCCTCATTCACGTCGGCGCTCTCCCGAAAACGCCATCCTGCCACGCCAAAAAAGGCACCGCGATGTCGAGAATCTCCAATCCGCGCGGGGAAATAGTAGCGACGGACCCTTTCGCCTGCAAAGCAGAGTTGCTGGTCGCCCTCTTGCCGGGGGGGGGGAAAGGAAAAAGAAGGCTGACCAGTCGGCGGCCAGCGTTCCGGGAAGGCTCCGAAATTCGAGAGCGTGACCCCGTGCGGAACAAGCCAGGTAGCCCGATTTTAAATGACACGGAATTTATTTATTTATTTTTTTTTACTCCGTACAGTCGTCGCTTTTTTATTGCAATTTTCTGACTGGTCCGCGGAACAGGGCCAGGTGGGGGGACTCTGCGCTATGCCGCATGGGGAACCCGGGATTTGCTCGCCCTTCTTCCGCGAGCAGCCAAACCAGACGGTGACAATGGGAAAAATACGGAGTAGAGGGGGGGGTGCCCTGTGCGCCTTGTGTTGTGACTTTTGGCGGCGGCGGCACACACACAGGCACACACACCACCCACGTGCTGGAAGGCTTCTAGAAAAGATGGGGGTGCTTGGCGCCTGGCCCCCGAGTGGGCTGTTGGCTGTCTTGCTGTGGTGCGCCGTCGTGGCTAACAGGGTCGGAAGCAACTCCTGGCTTCTGCTTTGGCTCTCCCACGGGGGTCGGAGGGCTGGAGGGGTAGTGCTCAGCTAGGCCCTGGGAGGTAATACAGGCGACCGGCAGAGCAAGCTTTCGATGCAACGCGACATTTGTGCTCCAGCCCTTCGTGGTAGTAGTACGTGTCATGGCCTTACAGGGCGGCGTTTCCCCGATCCCTTTCTTCCGGGCGCTGGAGGGCGCTGACAAAGCCGTCGGGGCAGAGTCACCTGCCATGAGATGAATGATCCAGAAGACTCTGGCCCTGTTGGCCGTCGAGAGCGCCGTGTCGTGCTGGGCCGACTTCAACTTGGGCGAAATTGGTGGCGCCGTCAGATGCCTCGGGAAGCGACGGCATCCAGCAAAGAGGCGAGGCTCGTCGCGTCACATTTGTTTTTGTATTGTAGTCTAGTGATACGTAATCGCAATCGCGATCGCATGGATGATTATCTTGTGTTTGTCAAATCCAGCCAGCCAGTTGGTGTTGACACCGGCCCACGACCCGGGACGGCTTTCGGCGCCAACCACTGCTGCTCAAGCGCGGCGCCTACAGAGTACAAATCAACAAAGACCGAGGTGCTCCCATGACGTAGGAGAAGACGTCTTGTGCAACCCTCGGCGACTTGCTACCGTTGCGGGGGAGGGGGCTCCAGCTCCAGCTCCAGTCCCCTCGATGATGACAAGGAGCTCGATCTCGCGCGGTGCGTGGCATCACGGCAATCGTTGCCTGGTATCCCCATGGTCATGGTGGTTTATGCCTTGTTATTTTTGGCCCATCACGACTCGCGAGTGCGGGGTTGGAGCGCATTTCGCATCACGGTGGTTCGTCCAACACGATGGGATAGGGCCATTGTACATGCGAGGCCGGTCACCAGGCCGGGGCGCGCATTGTAAACTAGGATACCGCCTGTTGGTTCCTTTGATGCTTTGCAAGTGAATAATGACATCGTCCTTTTAAAAAGTAAAATAATCACACGTATGTCGCTGCCAGTCCGCTTGGGGCCATTTTGCTAGTCGACATCAACAGACGCAGAGTCCAAGCTCCTGCATCGACTCCAACCTCGCAAACCATGGCGTTCACGTTCGAGTCCATGTCACCAGACTTGGGCGTTTACACCGCATTCATCACTTTGCATGTACGCTCAAGCCAGGCGCCGTCCCCCGTGGCGTGGCCCCCCCGTGCACCAGCGCGCGTGGGCAGCAAGAGTCGGTGAGTTTCTAAATACAGAGTTTGACGCAGGCCCGGAATATCGCCCTCGGCGGCACGCACGCCAGACTGCCATGTCTGCGCGGCCGTGTCATCAGGAGCCCCTACTCCGTACATGTCGCCAGCCTCGGCCACACGCCCCCCTGTGTGTGTGCCCTGGGATGCGCCGACTGCCCGCTTGTTGTCTTGCTCTGCGCTGCCTTACCCGCCAGCCGCCCTAGGCCGGAGCCGCGGATGTGTATTTGCGTGTCCAATGTTCATGTGCGTCTCAGACACTGACACGCCGTCGTGGCCGTCGGCCCGGGCGATGCGCCCTCGGCCAAGACTGGGAATCGGTGTGCATGCACGCTTGACATGTCCGGAACGGGAGCGCAGCTTTGCGTCATGGTTGGCTGCCCTGGGACATGCTGTTGGCAGAGACTTTTCCGTCGTCGTGTCTGGATCATGGCGGGCGCAAGGCTTCGAGGCCATGCGTGTGCCTGCCTGGGCATGTTATGTACGCAGAGGCACATGTCCTCCGAGACGCGCTTCACATGCCGGCCCTGGTCTTTTTCGTGGCCGGCTCGCATCTCTGCGCACGGATGGGGAATGGACTGGGTGAGTTGGCTGCTGGTCAGAATGGAAGGGACTGCGCGGCGGTGTGTTGCCGAATGTGTCAGGTAAATTAATAAACAGACAAATAAATAAATAAATGGTTTAATTTTAAATTTTAAATTTAAATTCACTTTGCGTCCGTCACCACCGCTGCGACCGGACTGTTCCTGCCTCCCCAACAAAGAACATGCATGGGACTTCAATGTTGACACCAAACACCCCGCATTCCGCATTCCGCACCCGTCCGACTTTGTCGCTCCGCATGCGGCCGTCTCGACCTTGCCAACAAGCCCTTTGTGTGCCATTACCCCATACCCGCCCGCCTGATAGCCACATGACTACACCATCCCGGCCTCGAATATTGCTTCAACTCATTTTCTTCTTCCCCATTCGGGCCTTGTCGGTGGTCCAGGTGGCACCCGCCGATGGGGAGGGGGCCGACGACGCGGGAATCGTGTGCTTCGCCAGATACCCGCGCGCTCGGCCGCTTGCGCAACACCGACATGGACCCCGGAAAGCATCGCGAGTCTTTCCGATCGCCTGCGGAAGGGCTTGTGCTGAATCCTTTACAATCCCCCTTGACGCGGGTGCTTTGTTGACGCCAAAAACGCCCACGTATAGGTATTCTCCTCTCATCATCTATGCACACCCCCAAATGGTGCGGCGCGCCCTTGTGACCTGTTTTCGTAACAATCATTGATCTTTGTTCTTCTGGAAACCTCCCGTGCCCCCCATCCCCCCCCCTTTTTTTATACCAAGTGAAAGGTTCTCAGTCTGGCGCCCTTGTTGGCAAAATACGCCGCATCAGGCCTCTTGTACATGGACACTCCGTCTGTCGCGGTGGCCCTCTGCACAAACGCATCCTCCTTGGCGCCGACTTCCAGCAGGTCCCAGTCGATCCTGGGATCTGCCGCCGCATCTTCACCCGTGTTTCTACTCCTGAAAACAGGCCCGGACGGGCCCCATGTGAGGCGCACGTCCTCCGGCAACGGACCAAGCAGGGCCTCGCCCCAGTTCAAGCCATGTGCGTTGCAGGGCCCGACAACGGCATACGTGCTGCTGTTTTCAGTGCCGCCACCACCACCACCGCTCCATGCCTCCTGGGCCCGTAGCACCAGCGGTCTCATGCAGCCCAGCATGACCGAGATCTGGTCCCCCGGCCGTGTAAGCGCCGGCCCGGCCCCGACAAAGCCTTCCTCGGTAATGAGCAGCGCCGTCTCCTCGCACGCCCGCACCATGCTTCCGACGCAGAGAAAGACGTCCGTCATGACGTCCCGGCTCGGCTCTGTCGCCGGAGAAGCGTCGCCAACCGTAGTGTCGAGCGCAAACCTAATCAGCCGCTGAAACTGGGCCATGCTGGGCGTGGCCGCATCCCTCACTTCGTCCGCCATGTCATCGGCAAGGCAGCCACCCGACAGTGCGTAACACAGAGCCTCAAGCATGCCGTCCGCCCGCGACGGTCGGTACCCCGGCCCATCGGAAAGATGGAGCTTGGCGGCGACCTCGTGTATGAGAGCGACGACAGACGGCAGTATGGGATCCTGCGGCGCCGCGCTCCGTGCAACGGCCATGGGGACAACGTCGACGACGGTCGCGGCCAAGACGCCCTTGATGGCCAGCCCCCGCCCCCCGTCGACCACACACGCAGACACGGCCGACTGCCCATCGGCGCACTGCGGCGTCGGCCACAGGTCCCGCTCCCGCCTCACGGTCCAGTCCGGCACCCACGACGGCCGCCGACCCGGACAAGTGGAGTCGGCCCGCCGGGATTCCGACACGAGGTCGGCCCTGCGCGTCGCCTCCATCTCCGCGAGCACCAGCTCCTTGTACACTTCCACCACGGGCTTCCTGTAGTCGGGCGCGATGCGCGCCGCGAGGCCCTGCGCTTCCGGCGGCAGGATCCCCAGCACGCCGTAGACCCGGTCGCGGGGGTCCGCGCACCCGGTCCGCTGCATCTGCCGCAGCAGGTGGCCGAGGCCCGAGACGCGGGGCGCCGGTGGAAGAAGGCCTCGAGGGCCTGCGACTCGGGCCCGTCCCAGGGCAGGGCGACGCGCTCGTCGAGCAGCAGCCGGAAGTAGGCGCTGGCCGCGCCGCTCTCCCTGGTCCACTGCGACTCCCGGGGCCTGGGCCGCGGCGCGCGCGACCCGGGGTCGGGGTCGGGGTCGAGGTCGACCGAGTCGGCGATGCGGTGCAGCAGGTTCACGGCCACGTTGCTGCCGGGGGCGGAGGGGCCGGTCCACGCGAGGACGCGCTCCGCCGAGGCGTAGATCTCCGCCACGAGGGAGACGTGCCGCGCGCGCTCGTCCAGGTCCTGCTGGTTGATGCACACGGCGTCGACCCAGAGGACGAGGTGGCTGTCGGCGTAGGGGAGGTGGCCGAGGGCCTCTGCCAGGTTGGCCGTGACCGAGAGGCGCTTGGCCGGCGCGTCGGTCGACGACTGGGCGACGGCGACGTCGAGCCTGTCGCTTGCGTCTCCCCAGACGTACGACAGGGCCATGAAGGGCCGGGCCTCGAGCGGCGCGTGCTGGATGGTGATGCGGATGTCCTCTGGGCGGGGGGACGCGCGCGGGTGAAGCACCGCCAGCCGGATGTGCTTGCCGTCTGGCGGCAGCGGCTCGTACTGGTATCTGTCCATGGCGGGCGACATCTAGTTGAGTTGGGGTGCGCGAGGACAAGTTTGGCGACGGCACGGGGGCTCTTCACTGCATGGCTGGAGCTGAACCCTGGTGTTGGGGATCGTGGCCGCGTGTGCACTGTCTCTTTGCGGCTGGGGGTTGCAGACGGGGTGCTCTATTTGGGCGTGCCGGGCATTCTGCGCGAGCCTGCCATCTCAGCCCTTGCCGTGACTGCTCCGTTGTAGAGTTGTGGTGTTGTGTCTTTAATGTCTGGTCCAATTGGGCCAAGCCGGAGCGGCGTCGAGTCTGACATTTAAAACATCCCTGCTACGCTGATACGACGGGCAACCCACAAACAGCACCTTGTACGTTGACAGCTTCAAAAAGGGAAAACAATAAAAATGAGCACAATGAGCACAATGCCCTGACAACTCGGCGTTGCTGCAAACTCGAGCCACTGCATTGCTGCACCGTGCTCTCGACTCCCATCGCCACCATCTCGTGCGCGCCGCGTGAAAACAGGCCAATGCCCACATTTCCCTGCCTTACTCCGTAAATACTCCGCGCAAATATGTGGTAGTACTACACACATGCGGCGGGTGGGTTCGACGGAAATGTCCGTCAACACAATCATCTGCCACCTTAAAAAACGCTCAAAGAGGGCCCGTTTTCAATCCCCGCCGAACCCGCCCCAATGCCGGCAGCACATGCCATTTTTCTCCATGTCGAACCCACATCTCTGCCAGTTATTCGATTGAATATTCTTCAAATCCCATCTTCGCACCCCCTCAGGAATACTCCCTTGTCCATCTACGGAGCGCACACAGATATACATGCATGCATTTGCATGCACACACGCACTTGGCTAGGTACATGCAAAAAACAATCTGTATGCGCCAGCACACCCGACCTGCAAAAAATTTCTTCTCGTCACCCGTGGACCCCTACAGAACCCCTCTTTGCAATCACAAGGCAGATGCTACATGTACATGTACCATTCATTGACCCTTGCCTCCGACTCCGGCGCGACACCCGTGCACATGCATAGCATGTCTTTGAGGCTTGTCCAGCCCAGTCGCTGACGTGCACGCGGCGCAGCTACACCGTCAATTCCCCAAACCGACAAAATGTCCAGTGTTTCAAGCACAATTTTTTTTCTTTCTATACAGACGCCAACGTAGCGTGTGACAAAATGAAAACGCTCGATTCGGGCAAATTTACCGTAACAAGAGTCGTCCAGGTCCTGGACCCAGAATTAAAAAACGGCCCCAAGTCGGACCGACCCCATTGCGCGGGCAGCAAGAGTCATTTCCTTCTTCTCCAGGTGTCCTGCGTACCACGTACACGCGGTATACATCCAATTCGACCCAAGCACAGCCTCCCCTCCTCTGCGATCTCTGCATTATCTGTCGGCTCTGCAAGCCCCGGCCATTAAGCACCTGTGAAGCAGCCGAGCGACGGCAAAGCCTTATCCTACTTACCTGCCGTCGGGCGACGCCGAAAACTGCCAAAAAGAACCCCCCTTGTATCCAGTACCTATCCTAGCACTGTACATACCAAGTACTCCGTACCCAGACAGACTTGACGTCAGGTCCATCTCCCAATCAGCGCAGGATTCTTCTCCGGCCCGACCCAAACTCAAAGCCCATTAGCCCTGGACGGGTTCCCATGCTGCCGGCGAGCGCAGAAAACCACAACGTTTGTAATCAACACAGGACTCGCCTTCCCCGTCGCAGCAGCAGACAAGGGGAGCAAGGGAAAAGCTACTTCTCTGCCCGTGAGTCGCGACACTTGCCCTCTGGTCCCCTCTACTTGGTTCATTTTCACTTCTCCTCCTCCAACCCAGACACTAAACACTTTGCCTTCTCCACACTGAGAGCTTTTCACGCCGTGCTTCACGCCGACGTCCATGCCTGCCTGCACAACTACCGAGCTTGGCTTAGCGCGAGGGACCACTCACTGGCCATCACTTGAGTCACCTCACCGCTACCTCCGCCTTATGTCCATCGAGTGAGGCCATGCCGATATCTAAACACCTTCAAATCACCACCAATGAATGCACTCTCCATTAGTCGTCACGCCTTCATCGCCTCTTCCCTACTCCGTACATTCCACCACACATTCACACTAGCAAGCTCACTGCCACAAGTAGAATACGTAATCTTGGTTTCATAGCTTATTCAATTCATGCTTTTATGGCTCTTCTAACCTGGCCGCCACACGCCACTCCGAGCTGCTTATTCTAATTGTCTTTGAACAGCCAATGCTCGCCTCGTTGGGCAGTGTGGCCGACCCTCTCTCCCTATTGCTCCCGCATCGTGCGATGCCGCATTTTCTCTTTGTCTAGCTCCTCTGCTGCCTTTTCTCTTCCCGCTTTTTTTTTTTGCCTCCTCCTGGCCATCACCAAGCCAGAACTGTCAAACCCCCCGCTTAGTACTCAAGGTTGCCCTTGCAGAATGTCCCATCTCAATAGTCTCCGCCCCCTCGTTTCCGTGATAGAGTTACAAAGCCTTCAGCCAATAGAATAAACATGAATGCATGTGTTCCCGATGGAGCCAAGTCCAGACCATGGTATCATTTGGGTTCAAAAGGAAAAAAATCAAAGATATGCAAACGCCTCGTAAAGTGCAACTTGTCTCTTGATGTCAAAAGACAAAGAATATTAAGGCTTTAGCACAATACACACGGATCACGCATCAATGCATGTATCTCCATGAGTACGCTGCATTGCTGTGCTGTCGTTGGTAATGCATGTAACGCTAATAAAACCAGTCGTGCAATGTCGCCGGGTCGAACCCAAGTATCGTCATAAAAAGTCGAAGATGTGGTATGTAATTAGGAAGATCAGTGTCGTTGAGAAAAAGGGAAAAAATCTTTACACGCCGTTCAGATATACACGGCAAGGATAGAAGAAGCCTTGCCAGGCAAGCTCCTGATACCAGCCAAATTGGTACATGCTCATCAAGCAAGGACGAAAAGGACGACTGTGATATTTACCAGCCCTTTGAATGGTATCCGTTGAGAGCTTCCTTAGAGAAGTATTGGTTCCAGCTGTGGGCTTCGGCATCTTCGCTGGCCTTCATACATGCTTTCTGGGGATACTGTTTCAGGTTGGCAACGTCCTGCGATGTGTGACGGCGCTTGAGCAATGCCTTGCTGCCCAATTTCTTCTGCTGTCGCTCCCAAACAAGGTTGAGTCGGAGTGACTCGGTAAGTTCGGTAGCCAGCATGTTGCGGCGGGTGGTCCGGGGAGAAAAGGCCGCAGGGAAGTTGACATGAGTAGCATGGGTCGTGATGGGCTGGGCGCTGGACCGGGGAATTTCGCTAATAGGCTTGAGTGCAGAGTGTCGCATACCCTTCATCATCAGTGGCGCTTCATCCGAGTCATTGGGAGACACGCCCAGACTCGGTCCATTGGGCGTCGCTCGGGTTCGGTGGATAGCGGGAGTGGACTGCGAAGATTGATTGCCGAGTGTCCTGGCGCGCTCGTTCTGAGCAAGCATGAGCGTGATTAGCGATGGGCGGGAGGCGAGGTTGGCCTTGGACTCGACACGCTGGAAGAACTTGTCGTCAACACTAGATTTGCCGCTGTCTTCCGTGGAGTCTTCCCAGTCAGAAGAGTCGTCGTCGTCAATGGCACTCTCGTCAACATATTCGGCCTCGGTATCAGAGTCAACGGCGGACTCGCTGTGTTGCAGGGCCTGGGCCGTCAGGTTGCTGATGCGAGTGTTGGGAAGGGCAGAGTGGCCAGAGCTCCTGAGGGAATCTTCTCCCGATGATCCGCCAATTTGGAACATGGGCTTCTTGCCGACGGCAGCGGAAGTGGCCTTGATGTTCTCGATACTCTGACTGTGCTCGCTTGATGAGCAAGATCCACCAAGGGCGAAGCGAGCAGGCTGCTTCTTAGGCTGCACAGGCTTGGGTGCTGGTGAAGAGCTGGGCTCGGGTAAAACATCTTGCGACGAAGCAGCAGCAGCAGGTTCTGGGAAAGGGAGGGCTTGGACTCTGAGGCCCTCGGGAGGCGGGAACGGGGAAGGATGTGAGACTTCAGAAATTTGCTCCGACGATTGTGACTCGGTCGTGGTAGATCCGGATCGGGTGAGAGCGGGAGGAGCAGGAGGAACCAGAAGCTTCTGCTTCGTGGACGCCATCAAGGGTGATGTTTGTGAAGGGGCGGACAGGGGAGCCTTGTCCTTGACAATAGACACAATCATCTTCTCAAAGTCGTCAGAGCTGATGCGTCGATCCCGTCTGGTGGTGGAGGAATCTAGTCTTCGTATCCTAGGTCGGATCTCAAGAGGTGCCGAGACCGAGGTGAAATCAACCGTCTCGTCGTCGGCCAAGGACTCGACGCTGCCAGAGAGCTGAGGAACCTCTTGTAACCTCGTCTCGGACGGGACGTTCTTGGGAGGGATGGTGGTGGTTGTAAAGGCGGCGGAGGAGGCGGTGTTCTTATTCGCGTTCTCGACGAGCTGTTCTCTTTGCCAGAGGCGCCAGCTCAAGTTTTCTAATCTCCTTCCCTGTTCTACAGAATCTGCGCAACGGGAAAAGACTGTTGCACCGGTTGGTCAGCATCGTGGTGGGTGCAGTTTGGTTGTGGCGAAAGAGGACCTACCTGTCCACATGCTATAGAGATTGGCGGGATTGGCAGTGTCGACCTTGTGGATGACGTTGGCGTCTACTGTCAAGACGTGCGTGTCTAACCGGTAAGGCATGTCTGCCATTTGTGATGCTCGATCGTGGGCGAGTAGAGATGGATCCAAGAGTGCTTGTTTAGGAGGGTGGTCTGTTAAAAGGTCCAAGGAAGCATGCCTCGTCGCTTTGAGGAGGGGCGACTACCTGGCAGCCTTATATGGCGTGGAGGTTATTCGCTGTGAAGGAGGCTGGTGGCAGTGAAGGATCGAGGTAAATGCGTGTCGCGTTGTTCAGCAGTGATTCTGGCGCCAATTCGCGGGATTGCGGATGTGAAGAAGTTGGTCTTCAACTCAAAGCCAAGGCGTGTGTACGAGGCTTTGTGGGT